CTGGTAGGGTCTAAAGGGGGCAGTTTGACTGGCCCTGCTGTAGAAACAGAGACCACAGTTGTGAAGACCGGCTCCCTCAACACCCAGACCAAGACCTTTGATTACCTGCTGGTGCAGAGATGGAGGAAAAGGGGCCTCAAGACCCACACCAAAACCAGACCACCAGACTGCTTGAGACCCAGACTGTAACCAAGACAAGACCATTTGAGACCCAGACTTCTTGCAACTCTGAGCCAGAGGTAGAAAGGGGTTGTACTGCAATGCTAGCTTTAACCCTATGCTGCATTGCCCTCAGAAGACTTCCTCCTCCTGTTCTAGTCCCTGTAGATTTGCTAAAATGCAGGGGAGCGCTGACAAAGCCATTACAAACATAATGGGATTACAAACAAGATCTCTCTAGATCTGGGTTTCCCAAACTCAGTCCTGGGGACCCCAAGGGGTGCACGTTTTGGTTTTTGCCCAAGCACTACACAGCTGATTCAAATAATCAACTAATCATCAAGCTTTGATTATTTGAATCCATTATGTAGTGCTAAGGCAAATAACTAAACGTGCACCCCTTGGGGTCCCCAGGACCGAGTTTGGGAAACACTGCTCTAGATGAACCGTATAGTCTATATCATAGTAGCTGGCAATATTTACATCACACCTGTTTCTGCACCTCCAGTTTATGATTTGTTAAAGTATATTTGACAGTCATGACCTTTTTAATATTGATTGTCCTCTGACAAATGATCAATTTTAGCTATATATTACAACTGTTTACAGATGCAGCCGCCCCTTTAAGAAACCAGACTGGTGATTTGTCTACAAATAAACATTATTAGTGTGTTTTGTGTTGGTATAACTGAAACAAAGCCATATCTATAGTATCTACATTTATATCTACATGTTGTTTGGTTGCCCTGTTAGCTTTAACCACCCTGCCAAGCTTGGTGAAAACATGTACTCTACAACTGCGACTTTTAGAAAGACCAGAAATTCTGACTCAAGTTTACTTTTGCTAATGTTCTCTCTGATTTGTAGCGCTCTCAATCTTGTCTTTTGACTGATTCTTGAGCTAGCCTAGCTTCACATTGTAACGTGAAATGTGAATGCTTCCATATATGAAGCACCGCAATTTTTCAACTAACCTCTACACCGCATGAGGAGGTTCCTCGCTATCTTATCTGCCGCACATCTCGCATTTCCCAACATCTTTGCCGGAACTAGTCTATGCGCGTCACACAGTGCGACCAACACAAAGATCTACACACATGCAAGAGGCATTTAAAAAATTATATTTTTGGGGAACTCAGTAGTGGTCTCAACTTACTGTTGAGTTAGAATAGTAGAAAACACAAGGTCCAATTTCTAAACCTGGTTGTGCATCAGTAATTTTACTCTTGTTATATGTCACTCACTGACAGTCACTCAATTAGCCCATGTCAGTAAAACATTTTTAGATTGATAAATTAGTCTAGTTAGTCTAGCTAGCTATCTTATCATGGCTGAATTACCGTGCCTAGGGACCCTGACCTCCAGGGGGGCCCCATTGATTGTGTGAGTCACTCTCACTCAGATATCATATTAACATGGCAAAATGTGTAGAATTGCAGGGAATTAGCTTTAAAACTGCAAACATTTCTCCCCACCCCATGGCAAAATGTGTAGAATTGCAGGAAATTAGCTATAAAACTAAGAACAAAAATCTGTAAAGCAATCTTATGTTTACCTATTGTTAATAAAATAATTGTTCTGCTAACAGGATCTGTACATAATAAATTATAGTTTTTAATCCCAGTGCTGAGTTAATGTGTAGCGGCTAATTGTATAGGTGAATGAAGCTACAGCAACCAATGTGATAATGTCTGGGGTCATTTTTGCTGTTCTCCAAATAGCATTTTAGAGTTTTTAAATTCTATAGAAATGCAGTAAATGAGCTTCAACTTTCTTAAACCCAGAGCAGGCAGCTTTGCTTGCGTTTAAGATTTGTAAGTAGATATCTTTCATAACTGCTTTGTATTTGCAACGCAGGGTTTAATTTTGTGAAATAAAATGGAGTTTTCTTCTATTTGTGTTTCCAGTGTGGGAGTAAATGTTTGGAGTGGGTAGATTACTCTTCCTGTAAAATCAATAAAGCATTTCACCACATTACTCCACTTTAATCACTTTAACGAAGCACTAATGGGACATTCACAGGGCTGGAAAATGAAACTCCAAGACAATCCTTTAAAAATATAACCCACAATACTTTTATTGCCATTTATGTCACTGACAAAAGTTTACAAAATGATGAGAATCCCTCATTTGATAGATGTACCCAATTGATGATACATCTTGGATGGATGGATTTGTCCCAGCATATAAGAGTTTAGAAAATTGTAAAAGACAGGTTTGTGAGGGATGTTCAGTTTTGCCCCAGATAGAGGTATGGTATAGCTTAATGGTTTTCATTGAAACCATCAGCTGGTTTCTACACCCCCCTGAACACCTCTGAAGAACTAACGTTTGAATTCTTTACTCCCTCAAATTCGAATCAGAATTGACCGATCGGGCGTTGATAACAGTGAAGTTCAAGGTTGCCACTGAAGCTGAGATACAGTATGCACACGCACATTCTTTCCTTAACATAGTGGCAAATAAAATAACAAACAGATTAAAAAATATTAAAAGTATACAAAGTTCCCATGTTAAATGTTTATGCATAAATATAGCCCAGGCTGTGGGAACAATGCAGTAACCTTGCATGTTCAGAGAGCAAAATCATAGTTGAGCACCAGAGATAGGTTGCCAGTGTGATAGAGTGAGATAAATGGCCACCTTGAGTTTGCATTGATCCTATAGCTTGTTACAGTGTCAACTTCACAATACTGAGACATACTGTAGAGTGAGAATGTTACTATGGCTGTGTGTTTTGGTCTCTGACACTCAATTTATCCTGGTCCCAGATCTGTTTGTGCCGTCTTGCCAACACCTATGGTCGTTGCACAAACTCATCTAGGACTAGGCTGCTGGAAATCCGCACCCACTAACCGACAGCATTATGAGCTCAGAGACTACAGTATGAGCTGAGTAGGACAATGATAGGTAAACAGTGGTACTTAATAAAGGCCATGTTCTAATCTACTGCATGATCACAAAATGGATGCCACTTTAGGATTCAATCTTTTCTTTTTTTCTGAGCAAAACAAAGTCACCAGCACTTTAAGGACTTCAATCTTGGGTTTACAATAAGAATTTGGTTAGGACAGCCTTGACGCTTTTAAAAAACAACATCAAAAACATCTACATTTCACTTAAAAATATACAATTTAATTTTCAAGAAGCAAGTTCGATAATATTGGTTCTCAGCATTTAGACATTACAAAAGACAGACAAACACAAAACAAAAATAAACCTAGTAAAAATGTCACTTTTCGCAATCAAGATTCAAGACCGCAATCTTTTTTTGTACAGAGTAAGAGATGTAATTATTTAGCACCTTTTTCTCATTGAGAAAAAAAAACGAAGTATGATCTGATGGATGCTTGTTTTCAGTAAGGTTCGGTGTTCACCTATGTGTGTATTGTATATGTGAGTGTGTGCATTTATGTGTTCTGTAAAAATCCCAAACGTTAACTGTCTGTTTGTAGTAGTGTTGTCATGTACCATTGAGGTTGTAACAGTATGTTTCGTCTCCAGCTATGTTTCTCTATGGGCTGCAGATGGTTCAGCCGTCCAAGAGTTCTCACTGCCAGTCAGAATGTAAACTCTCAGAAAAGCTGAATCCCTCAGGACCTGTTTGCTGCGTTTCAAAGCAAATCTCCCTGATTAAATTCAATAAGCAGTTTCAGTGCATGATAATAAAACTGCAGCACCACTAGTACAATGTCCTGGCAGCCTATTGGAGAGAGGACCTAAGGCTCGATGTAGACATTGCCCCTAACCACAGAGCTAGGATCAGATTACCCTACCCCAATCCTAACCTTAACTGTTAAGGATAATAAAACAAGATCTGAACCTGGAACAGTGATTAGGGGTGACTTTTACCTCCTCTGTCTGAGACACTGGACATGGTTCATGCTGAGGGACAGTGTGGCCCTCTCCTGGCCAGAGGAGGCATTACAACAGCGCTAATGTATGGTGAGTGGAGGAGATGAGTGAGAAGAATTGAGGTAACAGAACACGGGCCGGCAGCACACTGCATCACACCAGAGGGTCCCTGCTTACCACTGCTTTACATGAAAACATGATTATAAACAGTATAAAGCTGGTGTTTTACTCCTAGAGTTGATACTATGCATGATGACCAACTCTCCATTACATTAGTGTTAAACCTGACGTTGCGTAAATGTTGCAGTCCTTCTTGTGAACATTTTTTGAACACTACAATACATTAACAGACACATTAGAATACTGAGTAGGGTGAAGCATGACCTCTAACCCCAATGTTGTGATTTCACAGAGATTACAGACAGGTGAGGGACTGCTTGGACCACCATTCACCAACACATACCCCTATTTCTCTCCAAGCAAATCAGTGGTTCTTACATTTCCACTTCACCATAAGAAGATTGTCCTACACAAACTCAACTCAACAGTAAAATACTTATTCCTTTCTACTTTATAACACTTTCTTTACCATTTCAAACAATTTCAGCTTTTTGTGCATCTCCTTCCATTTCCACTTCTCCCAGTGCTTCATGGATTCGAAGGCATGAATCAATTCTCGTCAGCCATTTTGTGTGTAAAATCTAAAATGGCAGGGGTTTGTGGTCCAAACACTGCATACCTTTCTGTAATCTCCTCCACTCGTTCTCCAAGTGGAATAGGAGGGGTGGGTCAGGGAAAAAATAAAATAAAGAACCTTGACAATTAAAAAGTGGTGGTTGGGCTGGTTGACTCAGTCTTTCAAAGCCCCCTACCCCGATTGGTTGGGGATGGTCCTGGGGTTAAGGTCAAGGGGTCATTATAAAGTCAGTCCAGGGGCTGAAAGGGAAGAATGGAGGGAGCCTAGGGAGGATTGGAGTGCTTGCAGCTCAGTGCAGGTGGATGTGCAGCTTGATGCGTAGGGCGTCTCCTATCTCTCCCAGCAGATAGTCGCTGTCGTGTTCATCCTCCAGCTGTCGGAGGCGCCACGGCCCGAACAAGGGCAGGCTGGCGATCTCCAGGCGGTAGGAGCCGGGGGGAGGCGGCTTCCTGCCCAACCTCAGCACGCTCTTCCCGTCGCGGCGCTCCAGCAGGCGGAAGTGCTCGCCCTGGTTGCCGTGGGTGATGACATAGCGCACGTGGTGCTCCAGGGGTTCCAGGGCAGGCAGCAGCTCCAGCAGGGGCTCCTTGTTGTGCAGTGAGGCCAGGCTCAGGTTCATGGGGATGGACTCCTGGATGTCCACGCTGGCCATGCTCACCTCCTAGAGAGATGGAGAGGAGAGGGTCAGCACATAGCAACATAAAAAAAAACATACAAATACACACAACTAGTACACGTTTATAACCTGTAGATTTAAGAATGAGTGAGAGACCACAAAAGTGCAGAGAAAGAAAGAGGAGAGAGAGTAGCAACAGTACCTTAAGGTCGTTGTCCCCAGCAGCGTGACGTCTGTGTCGGCCCTTCTTGCCGACGTCTCCGTTGATCTTACATTCGTAGCAGGCCTCTGGAGACAGACTGTCCTCATCGTCTCCCTCTGAGCTATACTGGTCCTGGAAGCCCTGACCCGTTATACAATGACTGGGGAGTCAACAGAGAGATACAGATGTCAGGACATTGTACTCGCATTTAGAACTCACAGTACAACTCACATTTATAAACCGGGTGGTTCGAGCCCTGAATGCCACGGGTATGACAAAAAAGTCATTTTTACACTGTTCTAATTACATTGGTAACCAGTTTATAATAGCAATAAGGCACCTCAGGGGTTTGTGGTATATGGCCAATATACCACGGCTAAGGGCTGTATCCAGACACTCTGTGTTGCGTCGTACTTAAGAACAGCCCTTAGCCGTGGTATATTGGCCATATACCACACCACCTCGGGCCTTATTGCTTAACTATAACACAGCGAGATACTCTTTCTTGTGGAGAAAATAAGTGTGACCGTTGGTACAGTGCTGTGTTGTATGAGGGTGTGGTTCCCAGTGGTTTCAAATACATTTTTGTGCTGTGACCAACCTAAAGCTTTTGAAGTCTTTCTGAAAAAAAAAAAAAATACACATCTTGACCCAATAAGTGAAACCAATGCTTGTAACCAAGAGCCATTAACCCATAAGAAATCAGCAACAACCCATCAGTGGGTACATTTTAAAATGTTTGTCATTTAGCAGACACGCTTACCCCTGACACCATTTGGGAAACCCTGGGTTAAGTCAGTCAGTGTAAGGCTAAGTCTCCCATCCACTCACCCCTGTCCAGCCCTGTAGTATCCTCCAGGACAGCCACACAGGTATCCTCCGTCTGTGTTGGAGCAGCCGAAGCTGCAGGGGTTACTGCCCATGGAACACTCATTAACATCCTGGCAGCCGCTCCCTCCCTGCTCAAAGTCAAAGCCGGACGGACACACACACTTAAAGCTACCCAGGGTGTTGTAGCAGGAGGCCGAGCCACACACAGACGCACCCGAACACTCGTTCTCATCTACAGGGAGGAGAGAGGGACACACAGAGGGGTCAAAAATGAGTAAAAGACCAACCAAAACACATTGTGCACATGGTATCAGATTTTGTTACATCTTTCATATTTCATTCTCATTGATGCGGATACTTGGTAAGTTAGGTCCTGAATCTTCATTGAGGATATGACACAAATAGAGCACAGCTCCTATGTCTCAATACTGGGCAGTGACGTATCTTGTGGCTGTATGCAACCACTTGAAGGAAAACGGGTTTAAGTAAGTGACTGGTCTTGTGACTGGTGTGTGTCTGTCCCACTCACCTACACACTGGTTCCACTGGTAGTGTTGTACATAGCCCTGAGGACAGCCACAGCGGAACCCTCCCATCATGTTCTGACAGCCGTGCTGACAGCGATGGTTACTACCACACTCATCCACATCTGACGGAGAAGTCACAGACATGGGAGGTTAGACATTCCAAAATGCATTTTTGGGCAAAAACTAGCAAGTGTAGGTGTGTGCGCTTATGACGGGGGAGTGGTGTGTGTCTGTATGCGTGCGTGTGTTGGGTCCTTGCCTTCACACTCCAGGCCAGTTGTGTCCAGAGAGAAGCCTTTCCCACAGTCACAGTTGAAGCTGCCGGGGGTGTTGACACAGGAGGCTCTGGAGCCACATACACTGCTCTGCCCATTACACTCATTGTTGTCTAAGAGAGATGAAGATATACATTCATGAGATTTCATTCAAAACCATTCAACTACCAGTTTTCTACCAGAGTTCTTTAACTTTTCAAGGTGGTAGAATTGTCCTAAACAAAGTGTATCTCGTTCATGGCCACTCACCGATACAGGCGGTCTGGTGCTGGGTGAAGCCTGCAGGACACTTGCAGGTGAACCCTCCGATGGTGTTGACACACAGGAACTGACAGTTATGCTGCTTAGTGGAACACTCATCCAGATCTGTAGTAGAGGGGTAGAAATATGGATTAGTTAATAAACTGTGAAAAAAGCATGTATACTGTATGTAGTTGTGTGAAAGTACCAGTTAGCATATTAGACAATTAAGATCGAATGATCATGAGAAAATGGGAACTCATATGTTTCAGTATTTATTGGACTGGTATTGAAGGCATCTGACCAGGAGCAGGGTCCACCCACCTTTGCAGGTCTTTCCGTCAGGCTGCATGGTGTATCCTCTGGGGCAGGAGCACAGGTAGCTGCCCTCTGTGTTCTTACACAGGAAGTTACAGGGCTTGGGAGACGCGGAACACTCATCCATATCTAAAACACAACAGACAGTGGTGAGTAATAAGGTCAGAAAGAGGGCAATTTCTACCCCGGGCCAGGATGGTTTGGTCCAAGGCCCAGTAAGAGAAAGAGAGAGACGGGTCATACCAACGCAGGAGGTGCCGGTGAAGTCGGTGGTATAACCCACGTTGCAGTGGCAGCGGAACGATCCGATGGTGTTGATGCACTGGCCGTTCTTACACAGGTCTGGCATCACCGTGCACTCATTGATGTCTGCAACAACAGCAGGCACGGATGTTAGATATACACACACACACACACACCACCTCAACCCTCTCTCATCCCCATCTCCTTCCACATTCCTTTACCATTTACTCTCACCCTCCCTCAACCCCTTTCTCACACCCTCTCCTCTATCTAACCTCTGCCGTCAGTGGTGTACCCGGGTCCCAGTGGGCACATCCTCTTGTACTGCACGGTGCCAGGCAGCGGGCAGAGCTCACACTGGGGTCCCCAGCCGCGCCCGAGGTTGCAGCAGCACTCAGATTTGGTGACACTGTTCCTGTTGGTGGAGCCCTGCTGGCACATAGTTTGGAGCACCTCGGTGAAACAGAAGCCCTGTCGGTTATCTGTAGGGGTGGAGGGAGTGAGAGAAAGACAGGGGGAGAGAGGGAGAGATGAGTCGGCAATATACAGGAGCTGCATATCAAGTATGTGTGTCAAAGGAGTGATAGAGTCTTTTATGCTTTTGTTTTGGTGGTTGCATTGAAATTGCATGGATGGATTGTGCACCCTTCTGCAGAATCCTTTGTCGTGACATGCTCACCGATACACTCTGTTCCAGTGGAGCTGGACTGGAAGCCCTCGTTGCACACACAGCGGTAGCTTCCCACTGTGTTCTCACAGCGCCCGTTCTTACAGATGCCAGGCTTCGCGCGACACTCATTCAGGTCTGCCAGGGGGAGGAGGATGAAAGAAAGAGGAGAGGAGTAGGGGGCGAAGGAGAAGATGAGAGTTTAGAACAGTGTGACATAAAATGGAATCACTTTCAAGAAGTGATTTCTCTCCTGTAGTGTGTGTATATTTGTGTGTGTGTCTGTGTGTGTGTGTGTGTATTAGTGATTGAGAGAGTGTGTGTGTGTGACTCACCCATGCAGCCATCTCCGTCAGGTCTGCGCTGCATGCCAAGGGGGCAGATACACATGAAGGTGCCAATCAGGTTCTTACAGGACATGCCTTTGGACTCACAGTCATCCAAACCCTCAGAACACTCATCCTGGTCTGGTGAGAGAGAGAGAGCGAGCGAGAGAGCGAGAGAGAGAGTGCGAGAGGGAGGGAGGGAGAGAGAAAGAGATGGAGAGAGAGAGCGAGCGAGAGTGGGGAGGAGAGGAGAGGAAATGTTTAAAGAAAAATAGACAATGATGTCTAGGCTACTGATCCATTTTAACAATAAGAAGCGGCAAAAAACACATTACAAAAAAATATTATACCGTAACGTACAGTATGTTCATGAAACAAGTTCACTGTAAAACTACCATCTCTAAAGCATGACCATATAAAACCAGCCAGGTGAATTTACGATGATAGAGTAACTTGACTTTAACACAGCTGTATAATAGCTACCCCACAGGGGTTTACATATGACTGCTGATAAAGGGAGAGACAGAAAGTCCTGAGCAAGAAAGAGAGAGATGGAGAAAGAGGGGAGAGAAAGAGATAGAGAGAAAAGGCTCCTGTGGAGGTAGATTATGGTGTGTCCCTTCACCTCTGCACATGCGGTGGTCGTCTCGCAGCACGTAACCCGAGGGACACATACACTCGTAGGAACCAAAGGTGTTGACACAACGGAAGGCACACAGCAGGGGGTTTAGAGAACACTCGTTGATATCTGAAGAGAGAGAGAGACAGAGGGAGTGAGCAAGAATGAGAGAGAGAGAGAGAGAGAGAGAGAGAGAGAGAGAGAGAGATGAGTACATGAGCATTCTATCATACAAGAATAATTGTACAATCTGATGGTATATCATCATAAGCATTTGTAATTTTCCAGGTGTAGGTGAAAGGTCAAAGGTGAGTGTTTGTATGATTTTACATACCTTCACAGGTCATCATGGAGCCAGGTTCGAAGCCTTCATGACAGGAGCACTCAAAGCCTCCCACCACATTAGTACAGGTCCCGTTACCACAGGGGTTTCCTATAGAGCACTCATCAGTGTCTGGGGAGGGAGAGGAGGGAGGAGGGGAGATGGGGAGATGGGGGAAGGGTGGTCATGTAAATGAATTTGTCCTCAGGTATGTTGACTTCTGACAAGAATGTAATCTTAAAGGAAAGTAAATGTCATCATCATCATTATCAACACCAATAGGGGTCAGGGGTCAGCTCACCAACACAGTTGACCCCGGTGTAGTCCAGGTTGTAGCCGAAGGGACACTCGCAGCGGAACGATCCGTCCGTGTTGATACAGATACCGTTCACACAGACGCCTGGGTTGTCCAGACACTCGTTCATATCTACAGAAAGACAGATAAGGACAGTTTATTGACATTTTTGACATCGGGTCATAAAAGAGCTGATTCAGTTGAGGGGGTCGGTATGTCTGGGGGTGGCCCAGCCGTGTCACTTATCACTCACCCTCACGGGCGTCCCCAAGTCCAGGCGTGGATCCATGGCCGTAGGGACACAGGCTTTTAAAGGACGCTGGAGACACAAGGAGATGTTAAGAAGTTAAATCTACACACACTGACAGGACAGGATCCACTAGGCTTAGCTCTCATCAACTGGCTTGTGTTAAGGAATACATTATTATAACTACAATGAATGGAAAAGTACTGACAGTGAGGTGTGTGTGTGGAACGTGCGTGTCATACGTGTGACTCACCCTCGCTCTCGCGTGGGCACAGCTCGCAGGGGTCTCCCCAGCCCTCGCCTGGCATCTTGCTGCAGCAGCACTTGGCCTTGGTGGTGTTGAAGGCTTTGGGCACAGAACACTTGCCTGACTCAAAGCGGGTGAAACAGAAGCTCTCTCTTGTGTCTGTCATACAGAGGGGGTTGGAAAAAACACAGTCAGGTGGATAGTAGACAATAGACTACCACTAGTGGGTCTGAGACAGTATTCAAAAGGTTCTCACTATTTGGCCATACTAGAAAGGACAGAAGTGCTGTGATTTCTAACACATCTGAACCTTGGCCATTTAGTGACTACTGTAACGTACAGTTCTCTCTCTCTCACCCAAACAGCGGCGCCCATTGTCAGACAGGACGAAGCCATTCTGGCAGATACACTGGAAGCTTCCTGGGGTGTTGGTACACGTGCCAAACTGGCAGATATTGGGCTCCACCTCACACTCGTTGATATCTGGAAGAGAAAGAGAGAGAGGGAGAGAAGGAAAGAGGGATGAGGGGGGATTACATCATTGCAAACTCCAAGGCCAGATGGGGTATGGATGTCACCCCATCAGCGTACAAGGCTATAAGGCTGTTACACAGTGTGTGTGTGTGTGTGTGTATTGGGCCAGATAAAAGGGTCACTGCAGGTCATTGACACTCTGATGTGTAGGTGTGGGCGTGTGTTGGCTCTATCTGTGTGAGCAAGTGGGATTCTGAATGTACAGAAGTAATGAAGTAATGTTCTCTGTGGTAGTTATCCAGTGTGTGTGTGTACGAACTTGCGTCAAAGTTAATGGTCTCTTTCACCTCCAATAGTTAATCGAGTATTGGAGTGTGTGTGTGCCTGGTGTGTTAGACTCCTACCTATACACTGGTCGTTCTGCACCTCGTATCCAGGTGGGCAGATACAGCGGAAGGATCCGTCCAGGTTCTGACAGGTTCCAGGAGAGCATGTCCCAGGAAGACTCACACACTCATTGATATCTGAGGAAGAACAGTGTGTGATTATACAGTACGCCTCAATGAAAACACACTATACACCCCAAGACATACATCAAATACTTTCAAATACTTGGTTTAGCTTGGAGTTTGCACTTTTGGGACCATTCCATTGGTTCCATTGTACCAGGCAAACTAAATCAAGTATTAATAAAATATTTAAAAGTATTTGACAAATGTATTTGACCCAGGTCTAGAGTTGCTAGGGTGTTGACGTTACTTACCGACACAGTTCTTTCCGTCGGGGGTGAGTTCGTAGCCATCCTGACAGAGACACTGGAAGGATCCCAAGCTGTTGATACACTGGCCGTTCCTACACACCTGACCCACCAATGCACTGCACTCATCAATGTCTGGAGGGGGACAGGGAAGTGGAGAGAGTTAATAAGATGATCTAATTATTCAAAATATGCTACTCGAAAGTATCCCTTTTAACATTTAGACAGAATTACTCCTTAAATGTCTTCATAGTATTCTTTTCCATGTTGATATACTTTGGGATGTCATACGTACCCATGCAGTCATTGTTGTGCGTGAGCTCGAAGCCAGGGAAGCAGAGACAGTTGTAGGAGCCCACTGTGTTCTTACAGGTTCCGTTCCCACATGGTTGTCTGTCACACTCATCAATATCTGAGACGGAGCGAGACCAGGGGGTGAGACTGAGGTGAGATGATTGAAACCAAACTATAGAATGTCTACCGTGTCTGCTATGGTAAGTCTATTGAGTTTACCGGGACTGTTTACTTACCCATGCACATGGTCTGGTCGGCTGTGGCCTTGAAGCCGTTGTGGCAGAGGCAGCGGTAGCTGCCCTGGGTGTCGATACACTCTCCGTGGCTACACACGTTAGGGATCTCCTGGCACTCGTTGCGGTCTACACACACAGGGAGAGAAGATGCAGAGTTTTTAGTTTATTTGTAACAAATTATCTAACTAGGAAGTTCCATCAAGATCAATAATATACACTGAGTATACAAAACATTAAGGACACCTGCTCTTCCATGACATAGACTGACCAGGTGAAAGCTATGATCCCTTATTGATGTCACTTGTTAAATCCACTTAAAAAATTAATATAGATGAAAGGGAGGAGACGGGTTACAGAATAATTTTAAAGCCTTGAGACAATTGAGACATGGATTGTGTATGTGTGCCATACAGGGGGTGAATGGGCAAGACAAAAGATTGAAGTGCCTTTGAACTGTGTATGGTAGTAGGTGCCAGTCGCACCGGTTTGTGTCAAGAACTCAACAGTTTCCCGTGTATATCAAGAATTGTTCACCACCCAAAGGACATCCAGCCAAGTTGACACAACTGTGGGAAGCATTGGAGTCAACATGGGCCAGCATCCCTATGGAATGCTTTTGACACCTTGTAGAGTCCGATGAATTGAAGTTGTTCTGAGGGCAAAAGGGGTGCAACTCAATATTAGGAAGGTGTTCCTAATGCTTGGTATACTCAGTGTATTTTCCAATAGAGATCTGGCCAAGAAGGCAGCTCCAGCATTAACTAATAGACTAGGAGATAGGGGAGATGAAATACATTAATATTGATCATCTCAGTGTGTTTTCCCATTGACTAATAAACCATTTAACTCTCAAAACAATTATCTCTCAACAGGGAATCTCACTGTAGTACATCCCCATTGTTCTGAGATGGTAAATCCCTGCTGCCCCTGGGCATAGAGTTGGGACTCACCCACGCAGGCTCCGCTGGGGGACAGCTTGAAGCCTGGTGAGCACTCGCAGCGGTAGCTCCCTGGGATGTTGATACAGTTGGCGTTGCGTTGGCACAGGTTGTCTCCGCTGTTACACTCGTCAATATCTGGAGGGAAGAAAAACAAGAGCGGGCAGCGATCATTAGTCACAGTGGTCATAACTGTCTAGTAAAAGCCCAGTGTGAGGTAATGCAGAGGCTGAGGAGGGCCAAACAGAACAGTGCCAGGCTGGCTAGGGTGATTTAAGTCCCCTGGACTGGCAGAACTTGGCACTAGGCTCCTACAGGGCCAGTATACTCTGCTGTCTGTCTTTACAAGCAAGGATAATTCATGTGGGAGAGAGAGGGCAGCATTAACTTTACTGATTGTTAAGTGGTGAGTGTGTGGATGTGTGTGTGTGTGTGTGTTTTGTGTGCGGGTACATTTGGTTTGAGGGCCACAGAGTGTGTACCCATGTGTATATCATTTTTTTTATGAGAAGATAAATGGTGATGATTGTGTGTGTGTGTGTGTGTGAGAATGTGTGTGTGTCTGAGCCTTACCTTCACAGATGAGCAGTATATTGTTGTAGCTGAAGCCCATGGGACATTCACAGCGGAAGCTTCCTATCTGGTTGATACACACTCCGTTGGCACATATACCCGGGATCTCTCGACACTCATCAATATCTACAGAACAATACAGCAACATCATGCTCTGTTAGAAGTAATTCACTCACAAAGCTACTCCATTTTTCTTATTTATTATTCTATAATAGCACCATATACCATAAAATAATATAATGATTATAGTATCTATCTGTTTTGGCAGTTCAGCAGTCTCTGTTCTGAACAGGCAGAAGGCCAGAATGACCTATTTGACCTTTGACCTAATGATGACCTTACCGATGGGCTTGCCCGTGTGGATGTCTATGATGAACCCAGGAGCCTGATTCCCACACAGTAACTGGTACTCCGCTGTGGAGGAGAGGATAAAACAACTGAGTGAAATTATGCACCAAGAACATACAGTATTCAGAGGCTGTCATGAAAGTGTCGGAGGTAGTGTGTGTCTATGAGTGTCTCTATGGAGTGTGTGTGTGTGTATGCTAGTGTGTGTGAGTGTCTTATGTTCCAACTCACAGGTGGCAGGGGTAGGGCAGGCTTCACAGGGCTTGTTCCAGGCCTTGCCCACGTTGTAGGCACAGCAGCACATCTTCTTGGTCATGTTGAAAGACAGCTCGTTCTCACACGTGTCGTTGAAGTTGCGGTAACACACGCTCTTCCTCATGTCTGTAATGTCAGCAGAGACAGGGTTGAGAATGACTCACCATAAATACACAACTCTTTATAATCCATTATCATTTGTAAACCATTACTACACTGTTTGTATATTTATTCACAAACACAAGCTGGTTGAGAGAATGCCAAGAGTGTGCAAAGCTGTCATCAAGGCAAAGGGTGACTACTTTGAAGAATCTCAAATCTAAAATGCATTTTGATTTGTTTAACACTTTTTTGGTTACTACATGATTCCATATGTGTTATTTCATAGTTTTGATGTCTTCACTATTATTCTATAAAAAACCTTTTGACTGATACTGTATATATATGTATGTATGTATGTATGCATGTGTGTGTACCACCCGGTGTGGTCTGACTCACCCATGCAGTTGTTTCCTCCGTTGACCTGCATGTACTCAGGAGGACACACGCAGGTGTAGTTCCCCAAGGTGTTGTAGCAGGTACCAGGACCACAGATTCCAATGTGGGCTGTGCACTCATCAATATCTACACACACACGGACAGAGAATACACATGGTTATACACAGTACTGCCTTTCATTATCTTATTACATTTTGGGCTTTAGGCGGTCATCAATGATCAAGTGAATCAGATGGATACTGGGAAAGTCTGGAGAATGACCTCATTTGACCCCTCTGTGACCTTTACCCTCTTACCCTCGCAGATGCGTGTCTCCTCGTTGAGGTAGTAGCCTGCGGGGCACTCGCACTGGAAGCTGCCGAAGGTGTTGACACAGTTACCACCCTGGCACAGGCCTGGCAGCTCCTGGCACTCATCAATGTCTGGTGGGGTAGTGGGAGAGAGAGTCCGGTTTAGTTTGTTGGGACACTCTAAATCATACAACGGAAAAATAAGATAAGGACGAATAGTGTTACCTTCCAGGATGACAGTGATGGGGTTAGGTCTGAAGCCCTCTCCTCCGGGACACAGTGTCTTGTACTCCGCTACAGACAAAAAAAGACCCCAAAAGATCAAACTAGTACCACATTTTCCTCAAAAACATATGTGAAATTGGGCAAGATTAGCTCATCTAAATGTTTTGTTCTTCTTCAAAAAGAACAGGTCTGTCATGATTTGGTTCGACCAAGCTTTATTGTACATACTGGAGTTGATGGGTGGGCAGAGTTCACAGGGGTTTCCCCAGGCTCCTCCCAGGGAGCAGCAGCAGGAGGCGCGGGTGACGCCCACGCCAATCTCAGCGCTGCAGGAGATGCCACCGTCGCCACGCGCCAACGTGTCCAGGAAACAGTTGCCCACTCGTGTGTCTGAGATGAGGGAAAGGCATTATTGTTACACACCCATCAACACTTGCTGCCACTCATTCATTGGCTGAGGTGTCTTCATCTCCATGGCTACCAGACATTAGCATTGCGCTGATGCCAGGTGTCCAGTACTCACCCACACAGCCCACTCCAGTAGGATTGAGCTCGAAGTCCGGAGGGCAGTTACACAGGTAGCTTCCTGGTGTGTTCACACACAAGCCGTTGATGCAGTTCACAGGGTCCGCACACTCGTTAATGTCTGGAACACATACAAACACACACTTTATGACCAACATTAAATAACACACATAGAGCCACACACAAATGCTTTAACAACACACATCCACTCTATGAAAGCTATGCTCTTCGACTGTGAGAGGGCTGGTGAAAGCAGAAACAGCCTTGCTAAAGCCACAGACTTGCTGCGGCTGCACATGACAGATTGAGTGGTACAACGAGGGGAATAGAAAGTCAAAATTGATGGCGAAATATGAGGGTTGCCAGATTGGATTGGTAGTGATGTGTGGTAGAGGGTGTGTGTTGCTCACCAGTGCAGTTTCCTCCGCTGCGGTCCAGCTCGTAGCCATCGTCACACACACACCGGAACATCCCCGGTAGGTTCTGACACGTTCCAAACACACAGATGTTCTGGAAGTTACATTCGTCGATATCTACAGAGAGGGAGAGAAAGATATGGTCAGTATCTATGGGCAGAACGATGGTGTATGTGTGTGTGTGTGTGTGTGTGTGTATGTGTTATTCTTACCCTGGCAGGCCTTGCTGTCCTCAGTAGGGGTGAAGCCCATCTCACACTCGCAGCGGTAGCCCCCCGGAGCGTTCAGACACTGGCCGTTCTCACACAAGTTGACGTTGTCAGCACACTCATCCATATCTGAACAGGAGAAGCCGTCCCCGTTGAAGCCCTCCTTGCAGGCACAGCGGTAGGAGCCGGGGGTGTTGACACAGTCCGCGTTGAGGTTGCAGTTGTGCTCCTCAGTGGAACACTCATCCAGGTCTACAGGGAGAGAGGAGGGTCAAACATAATCAGTTCACTTAGTGTCCATAGATGAGGGAGCCATGTAATAACAATTCAATAACCTATTCTGAGAAGTACTGTAGAGATCAACTACTGTAGTTGTCACAACTCCTGTTCATAGAGAGCTAAAGAATGTATGGCTCAGTTGGTAGAGCATGGTGCTTGCAACGCCAAGATTGTGGGTTCAATACCCAGGACCATCCATACGTAAAAATATATGCACGCATGACTGTAAGTCGCTTTGGATAAAAGCGTCTGCTAAAGTACATATTTTTAATTTAACAGGCTTTTGTTCCAGCCCAGCACTAGTATACTCACCCACACACTTGATGCCGTCTCCCACCCAGCCGTCACGACAGCGACACTTGAAGCTTCCGGGGACGTTGACGCAGGCAGCATGCATGTCACAGTTATGGGCTCCAATCTCACACTCATCAATATCTAGAAAGAAAAAAAACAGCAGAGAGATTAATTTAGGACAAGACATAAAATGTGAGTGCCTCTCTCATTCTGTCTGTACTCTGGTTTAGACCTTGCATTATCCATGGAAGTTAAAAATGACCAAAGCTTTATGACATCATCATAACTAAGATAGCGTTTTACAGTAAATGGCCTTACTGTTACTACCAGTGTGTGTGTGTAGCCCATGGTGCTGTGTGTCTGTATGGTGTCTCTCTGTGTGTGTGTGTGTGTGTGTGTGTGTACACTGTACCTGTGCAGCCGGTGGAGCCCTTCTTGACAAAGTACCCCAGCTGACAGTGACAGATGAAGGATCCCTTGGTGTTCTCACAGTCCCCGTGCAGACAGATGTTAGGGTTCAGCTCACACTCATTCACATCTGGACACACAGGAACACACACAGAGGAACATGAGTTAACTGGTCTTGGAGAGGGGACAGAGGAGTAAAATGAATGTCTAACAGGTAAGGGTAAAATTAGAGGGCTGGGGGAGCGAGAGAGAGAGAGAGAGAGAGAGAGAGAGAGAGAGAGAGAGAGAGAGAGAGAGAGAGAGAGAGAGAGAGAGAGAGAGAGAGAGAGAAAGTGAGCAGGAGAAGAGAACAGGGTGTATGTCTCACCAATACAGGTCCTCATATCCATGGAGGCCATGAATCCATCATAGCAGAGACAGCGGTACTCTCCAGGGATGTTGGTGCACTGGCCTCCGTCACAGATGTCAGGGGTGTCCTCACACTCATCAATGTCTGGACAGGGGAGAGAACAAGTGTCAATGTGTGTCTATACACTATACTATGTGTACATGTCCAGTACGTATGTGTACTGCGTTACTGTGTGACGCACCAGCGCAGGTCCTGAGGTCGGGCATGAGCGCGTAGCCCTCACTACAGCTGCACTCGTAGCTGCCCTCGGAGTTGGTACAGTGTGTGTCACAGCCTCCGTTCATGATGGTACACTCATCAATATCTGCAATCAGACGGGTTACAGGTGAGTATAGACACTGGAAAGTTTCTGATGTGACAAAATGCTTAGAAATGGTCAACAACCATAGTCTGTTGTATGTAGACGTTCCACACGTATGGCAGGTATTTCCGTACACTGAAGTATGGTACTAACATCCACAAGACAAATGATGACAATGATCACTCACCCACACAGCCCTGTCTGTCTGGTGTAACCTGGTAGCCCGTGTCACAGGAGCACTGGTAGTTCCCCACCATGTTGACACAGTGGCCGTTCTTACACAGGTTGTCACTCAGCTGGCACTCGTTCACATCTGGAAACACAGAGAAGACGTCAGTTAGAGTCAGCTTAAATCAAAGGAATTAGCTACCACAGTAGACAACATAATGTAGGAGAGAATACCTTTAGTGACTTTTATGGCGGTTACGGTTTGGTTAACTGGAAAATTTATTCCAGATCAAATCACATTTTATTTGCCACATGCGCCGAATACAATCGGTGTAGACCTTACAGTGAAATGCTTACTTACAAGCCCTTAACCAACAATGCAGTTTTAAGAAAAATAAGTGTTAGGTAAAAAATAGATAAGTAAAAAATAAAAATACAAACATAATTAAAGAGCAGCAGTAAAATAAAATAACAGTAGGGAGGCTATATACAAGGGGTGCCGGTACAGAGTCAATGTGCGGGGGCACTGGTTAGTCGAGGTAATTGAGGTAATATGTACATGTGGGTAGAGTTAAAGTGACTATGCATAGATGACTTGAGGATGATGTAAAAACGCCAAAACAGTGATCTCATATTCCAGGTGATGTATAGGGTGTGTGTGTGTGTGTGTGTGTGTGTGTGTGTGTGCATACTATGCACTGTGCAGTGATATACTGTATGACTACCTTCGCAGGAGGAACCGTCGGGGCTCAGCTGGTGTCCGGGAGGACATTCACACTCGTAACTCCCCTCTGTGTTCAGACAGGCGCCTCCTCGACACAGCAGTGGGTTCCTCTCACACTCATCAATATCTGCAGGGGAGAGAGGGAGAGATGGAGGGAGAGAGAGGGAGGGAGAGGAAGAAAGAGGGAGAGAGAGAGAGAGGAAGGAAGATATAGGAGAGAGGGAGAGGGTGCAACAAGGTCAGCCGTCAATAATGACTTTGAGAGAAACACACAGAGGATCTCGGAGGAAGTTGTCCCACTCTCCAGTCAGCTGGGGAGCAGTGTGTGTGTGTGTGTGTGTGTGTGTGTGCCCCCACTCACCCATGCAGTTCTTCATCATCATGAAGCCGCTCTCGTAGCCCTCGAAGCATTCACACTCGAAGCTGCCAGGGGTGTTCACGCAGGTGCCGTGGCCACACAGGTCCGGAGAGATATGACATTCGTCAATATCTGTGGGAGTGGGAGGAGAGACAGAGGGAAGAATGCACATGACAGAAATATCATATTCAGCATTCTTTTACTGATCTCATGAGGAAATTCAGCTGTGTCAACAAACAGTGTTGTCTAGTGAGTTTGTAGAACACGTTTCTTTTTTGACCCTGAAACTTTCTAAAATACTACAGAAATCTTATACGAAGATATATATTTCTCCTTAAATTTGTTCCGATTTTAAGATTATTTTGTAAAAAAAACATGAATATGCTTTCTCGTTCTCTCTCGTACCGGTGCAATTCCTCTCCTCCATGGTGAGGGCAAAGCCACTGCTGCAGCGGCACTTGAAGCTGCCGATGGTGTTGCGACACGTTCCGTGAGAACACAGGCTGTTGAACACCTTACACTCATTCACATCTGCAGGAGAAGAACAGAATAATGCCAAGGCTCAGGGGTGAATTGTGTATGGAATTCACATGAAGTTTACCTGTGCTATTTTTCCAAATCCAATCCAGTAATGTTTTTCTCAAAATGAATCTGAATACATTTCTAGTCGTTTAGATATGTAATGCTGTGGATGGCTGGCACCTATACATTTGATAATTTGGCTTGTTCTTTGTAGCTCCTCAGTGTAGTAGGGATATACTCTAAATGTATTAGTGGCAGCAAAATGCCTAATGACATTCAGACAAGCAAAACTGGACAATGAGTGATTGTCCCTACCTTTGTAGAAGGGTCTGCCAGTCAGGATGTCTCCTCGGTTGGCGAAGCCTGGTCCTCGGGGGCAGATGGCCTTGTACTCCGGGGTGCCTGCCTTGGGACACTCCTCACAGTCGATGCCCCAGGCTGCGCCCACCGAGCAGCAGCACATATCCACTCGGTAGCGCCCGGGCAGCGGCTCACCACACTCATCCTCGTGCCACTTCATGTAGCACTGCTCGCTACGCACGTCTGAGGGACAGACAGACAGTGGTCAGACATACAGTCCTGCTGACGACACAGTAGGCTCAAGGTGCTAATATTTTTGGTGACCACATTTTTGGGACGCATTTGCTGTATTTGTGTTTGTTTGTTTATCAGGGTTTACGTTGGTTACTGTCTTGTCTTACCCACGCAGGTGCGTCCGCTCCCGTCCAGGGTGAGACCCTCAGCACACTCACAGAGGAAGGAGCCCTGGGTGTTGACACAGCGCCCGTTGGTACACACCCCCGGGAACACCTCACACTCATTGATGTCTGGGGGGGGGAATCGGGGGTTATTAAAGGACTGATTGACTGTACTCTATGACTCATCAGTTTCTGTGGGAGGGAGGGAGTGGAATACCACAGGAGGGAGGCAGAGGGTCACTATGGCTGTAAGAATGTCTGCTACCAACAGAATGGATAATAGACAGTAGCAGCAGTGTGTGTGTCGGGGTCAATATGTGTTTTACCTTCACAGTTGACTCCCTTCATACGCGCGAAACCTCTGGAACAGGCAGTGTCTGTGGAGAGAGACAACAGTTACAGTACACACCTCACACTTCATTATCTTCATTAGGAGTGTGTATGTCTAGAAGTGTGTGTGTGTGTTTGTGTTTGTACTGACCGATCTCGCAGCGTTCACAGGGACTGCCCCAGGCTGCTCCCAGCGTAGAGCAGCACTCAGACTTTAGCGTGGCGCCGTTGATGTTGACCTCACAGCGGCCATCTTGGACGTTCAGCCAGCATGTTCCCTTCATGCTGTCTGTAGAGGGAGGGGGTGAGAAGAGAGAGAGAGAGAGAGAGAGAGAGGGGGTAGGAAAGAGACAGAGAGAGAAAGAAGGAAGAAAGGAAGAGGAAGAGAGGGAGGAGAGAGAGAGAGGGAAGAAAGAGAGAGAGAATGTGAGTAAGTGAAGGCACTAAAGAGAACCCTGCCAAGAAAAGGCCCATCAATTCAAATGTACTGTGAAGCATCAACACACATATCTCTCATTTATATACTCCATTCATTCCAAGCACAACGGAACAGGCAGTGGATAGTAACTAACTACAGGTGTCCCTTTCAACAGCTGGCATCTTACCTCAGCCTGTACCAAGACACATGCATCAATTACTTTAATAATTTGCTATGGCACTCCTAATGGACTGAGAGCCTAGTCATAACAAATGGGATGTGCATTTTCTCTCCCGAGACCATGAGCCCACCCAAAAACTAGACCACAATTTATATTCTGGCCGTTGAGCGATGACTTTGAACCAAATATATGACTCTGCTTTGAACATAAAACAGCTCTATATTTTAAAGTACAGGAATCTATCAGACTGACAAGGCCGGCTCATATTGGTATTTATTCTAATGACTCATCCCAGATTACATCTGTAGATGGATGTTCAGATGCGTCTGGACATGTTCCCAAAGCTGCCATCGACTTGTTTATTTAGTGGTATAAAGATTCTAAAAGGCCTATGAGGCTAGAAACATTACTCTGACTGTCTATATGGATGATTCTCTGACAGAAGTTTGTCTCACGACCCCGTCGTTTTTAATTTGGGTCCGATTTTAAGTCGGGCAGTTATGACAGACGCCTTGGCCTCTTACCCACGCAGATGGTGTTGGTGGAGTCCAGCTTGCTGCCGTGGGAACACTCGCAGTTGAAGGACCCGGCGATGTTGCGGCAGATTCCGTTGACACACGGGCTGGAGTCACACTCGTTGATATCTGAAACACATGGACCAGAGCAGGGTTAGGTAAGGCAGTGCAGAGCCAGTTAAATGGGTCATCCTTTACATCTAGACAGGCATGTGTTTACTTCAACAAAGACACAAAACTTTATGGAAATTGGTTCAAGGACAGAGGATGTAAGCAAACATGTGGTCATATATTTTGATGATCTATTTGATTCCCTTCTCTCCATGTGTGTTTAAGTGTTAAACAGTTGCAGGTGTATGCACATCTAGAAGATTAGACAGCTGCAAGGTATGAAATAGGGGGTGGCAGGTAGCTTAGTGGTTAAGAGCGTTGTGCCAGTAACCGAAAGGTCGCTGGTTCTAATCCCCGAGCCGACTAGGTGAAAGATCTGTCGATGTGCCCTTGAGCAAGGCACTTAACCCTAATTGCTCATGTAAGTCGCTCTTAGTCTGCTAAAATGACTAAAATAAAATACAAATAATTGCACTGAAGAGTGTTTTAATGCATTGACTCTTCTCAACAAGGTCAAACAAACTATTGCTCTTTTGGCGTGTGTATGAGGTGTTTACCTTCGCAGGTCTCAGAGTCTGGTTTGAAGACAAAGCCTTTGGGACAGGAGCAGGTGTAGCTGCCGGGGGTGTTTCTACACAGGCCGTTGTCACACAGCAGACGGTTCACGAGACACTCGTTGATGTCTGGGAGACAAGAAAGAGTTGAGGAGAAGAGAACAACATGGTTGACTTATCAAGTGTAGGGGAGAGTGGGGTAAGTTGAGCAATTTTTTACATTCAGCATCATTCCGTCAAGGGAAATAGTATTCTCTCTAACAAAGATATCTACCTATATTTCAGGATGTTGTGTATCCCAGGAAATAATCAGAATTCATTTAAACAATACAGTTTTGAAAACATAGCTTGTCCAAAAAAAGTGGTCTCTTGGCACAACTTACCCCGGGTATGGGGTAGGTTGAGCCATGGGACAGGGTAAGTTAAGCCGCCTACAAATGTCTGTACTGAATGAAATATTACACCTACCTTTTTAAAACCATGTATATCATGTCTATCCCAAACACAATTCAACACAATCACCTTTTTGTCTTCTAATCATTTTAAGCATATTTTAACACTTGCTTAACACCTAACAAACACTTTTTTTTTTACACTTTTAACATAGGCCAGGCCCTGTTCTTACCTCATATCCCAGCAATAATGCCTTTCATTACGCTTGGGAAGAAAATACTTCCATTTGCTCAACTTGCCATTGGCTCAACCATTGGTTAAATTGACCTCATTGCCATTGGCTCAACTTACCCCAAGGCAAACATTTCGACTATAGCCCACACAGCTAGGATACACTTTCATGCTAGGTTTAGGACCTCATATTGAAGCTTATAGAGACCCCAAATGATGTATAGAACAATCTTAAAACTATCTACTTTGGTTTAGATCAGGGGTCTCCAACCTTTTTCTAGCATGAGCTACTTTAAATTTTTTTTTACATGTCATAACAACTATAAGGGGGCCCCATTAAATATTATTTTGTATTTTTCGAATTCTGTTTTCTGTTATTTTCCTGGTTTTCATTTTTTCTCTCGTTTTTTTACTCTCAATATTACAATTATTCAGATGGAAACAATGAAAATGGATGTTCTGAGTCCATGTCAATGCTTAAATCACATCAGAAGACAAACATTTTAGGTCTGGAAAAAATACTAACAAATATAGATTTTTTTTGGTGTAATTCTAGCAAGAGAGGAATGTGTCTGTCTAGCGATGTTTCTGCTGTTAGGTCTACTGCTGCAGAACATGTCATGGCAGAGTTTGCAAAACAATGGCCACCCAATTGACACAAATAGTCATGATATAGATCTGTCAGGTAACCCTACTTTGCAGTTAACATTTAATTGAGAAGGTTTTGGGGGAAAGTCTACCACCCACAAGACGGTTAACATTAGCATCGCTAACTGGCTACATACGGAGTGATAGACAAACGCGCACACCAAACAGACATAAAAAGTCAATATTGCTGGAAATTAATGGGCAAATATTGGGTTACGTTTGTCTTTTTAAGCCAATAGTGGCTAACCAGGGGTGGGATAATGTCAATGTGGCTTTGATTGGATAGAACCCAGGCAATTTATGTTTAAGACAGTTTGCATTGAACACATTAAAAAATGCATGTACTTTCAGAATTGATTGGTGAGTAACTCATTGGTGGGCTGGGAGATACTGGTAGCTCGCTATCTACCTGTTGGAGACCCCTGGTTTAGATACATGTTTAGTTTTTTTGGAACTAACTTGCTTACCACGTTTTCCATGTGGTTTCTTCCTTTACTGACGCCATGAAATGATGACTTCTTCCTAAATATTTGATCAAAGGATTTTTTATTTTTTTTAATGGTTTCCTAGAAACAAGGGTGGCTCAACATACTCATTTGGCTGAACTTACCACACTCTCCCCTAACACAAACCAACCAAAAGAATCAACCCCAGTGTTTGAAATTATAGGCGATTGTTCATCCAACTTTGATCATACGTCAAAGTTAAGACCACGAAAGTACAGCAGATAAACTTTATTCAGGTCGCTGCTTTTCCCACCAGACATAAGGATTGGATACAGGAAGACTGGACTCACCCACGCAGTTCTTTCCGCTGGAGTCGGACTCATAACCGATGTTACAGATGCAGCGGTAGCTCCCTCTCAGGTTCTCACACATGCCGTTCTGACAGATGTCTGGGTCCAGGGCACACTCATTGATGTCTGAGGAGACACACAGGAACAAACCCACATGAGCCCACCACAAACCACAGCCTCATCTTTACGCTCTCTCCAACATACATATTTATTTTATTTTTTCTCTCTTTGATTTGAAATTCGGAGGGAAATTCACACATTTTGGAGGGGCGCATGGAATGTTTGAGGGAAGGCCTGTTAAATGTCAGAATAACTAGCAGTGATAGTAGGGCAGGCTCCAAACCACAGACTTAAGATCAAACCGTACAAGTAACATTACTCACCTCTGCCGTCAGCGGTGATGCCAATCCCACTGCTGCACACAGCCTGGAACTCAGCTGAAAGGCAATAAAAACACCTGTAAGTCACCTGCTAATATATCCAGTGTAACAAAAAAACACAATTTACATTCTAATTCTAACAATCACTTCTGCAGTATTTGGTAGAGTTCTACAGGATCTTAGCCTGGAATCAGAATTGTATTGTGAAGTGAAACAATGCTGAAACAGAGCATATCAGTTTGGATTCCATGCTAACAGGATCTTAATAACAGCACATGTAAACCACTGATGCTTGCTGGTGGGGTTAGGGTTAGGTTTGGTCACCTGAGTTGCGGGCAGGGCAGGGCTGGCAGGGCTCTCCGAAGCCGTGTTCAGGACTGGCACAGCAGCACTCAGACTTGGTGACGGCGCCAGGGAAGGGCCTCGAGCACGTGCCCATCTTGATGGCGCCGTAGCAGGTGGTGCGCATGTGTGTGTCCACACACACTCTCCCGTCCACGTCGATGGCCAGGCCCGGTGGGCACTCACAGCGGAAGGAGCCCTCGGAGTTGATACAGCGTCCGTTCATACAGATGCCTGGGGTCTGGCACTCATCAATGTCTGAAGGAGGGAAGAAAGAAGGGAAGCGATACAGTAAATAATGGTATAGCCTTATTTTATTTAGATAATCACTTCAATACCACTTCATTAATCCCACCAGGAGCAATCTACTCCCCTGAAGATGATCTGTAGACCATAGGAGGCTGGTGGGAGGAGCTATAGGAGGACGAGCTCATTGTAATTGCTGGAATGGAATCAATGGAACAGTATCAAACATATGGAATCCACGTTTGACTCCGTTCCATTTATTCCATTCCAGCCATTCCAATGAGCCTGTCCTCCTATAGCTCCTCCCACCAGCCTCCACTGCTATACAGTGAGGGAAAAAAGTATTTGATCCCCTGCTGATTTTGTACGTTTGCCCACTGACAAAGACATGATCAGTCTACAATTTTGAGTGAGAGACAGAATAACAACAAAGAAATCCAGAAAAACGCATGTCAAAAATGTTATAAATTGATTTGCATTTTAAATGAGGGAAATAAGTATTTGACCCCTCTGCAAAACATGACTTAGTACTTGGTGGCAAAACCCTTGTTGGCAATCACAGAGGTCAGACGTTTCTTGTAGTTGGCCACCAGGTTTGCACACATCTCAGGAGGGATTTTGTCCCACTCCTCTTTGCAGATCTTCTCCAAGTCATTAAGGTTTCGAACCTGACGTTTGGCAACTCGAACCTTCAGCTCCCTCCACAGATTTTCAATGGGATTAAGGTCTGGAGACTGGCTAGGCCACTCCAGGACCTTAATGTGCTTCTTCTTGAGCCACTCCTTTGTTGCCATGGCCGTGTCATTGTCATGCTGGAATACCCATCCACGACCCATTTTCAATGCCCTGGCTGAGGGAAGGAGGTTCTCACCCAAGATTTGACGGTACATGGCCCCGTCCATCATCCCTTTGATGCGGTGAAGTTGTCCTGTCCCCTTAGCAGAAAAACACCCCCAAAGCATAATGTTTCCACCTCCATGTTTGACAGTGGGGATGGTGTTCTTGGGGTCATAGGCAGCATTCCTCCTCTTCCAAACACGGCGAGTTGAGTTGATGCCAAAGAGCTCGATTTTGGTCTCATCTGACCACAACACTTTCACCCAGTTCTCCTCTGAATCATTCAGATGTTCATTGGCAAACTTCAGACAGGCCTGTATATGTGCTTTCTTGAGCAGGGGGACCTTGCGGGCGCTGCAGGATTTCAGTCCTTTTCTTGGTGACTATGGTCCCAGCTGCCTTGAGGTCATTGACAAGATCCTCCCGTGTAGTTCTGGGCTGATTCCTCACCGTTCTCATGATCATTGCAACTCCACGAGGTGAGATCTTGCATGGAGCCCCAGGCAGAGGGAGATTGACAGTTATTTTGTGTTTCTTCCATTTGCGAATAATCGCACCAACGGTTGTCACCTTCTCACCAAGCTGCTTGGCGATGGTCTTGTAGCCCATTCCAGCCTTGTGTAGGTCTACAATCTTGTCCCTGACATCCTTGGAGAGCTCTTTGGTCTTGGCCACGGTGGAGAGTTTGGAATCTGATTGATCGATTGCTTCTGTGGACAGGTGTCTTTTATACAGGTAACAAGCTGAGATTAGGAGCACTCCCTTTAAGAGTGTGCTCCTAATCTCAGTTTGTTACCTGTATAAAAGACACCTGGGAGCCAGAAATCTTTCTGATTGAGAGGGGTCAAATACTTATTTCCCTCATTAAAATGTAAATCAATTTATAACATTTTTGACATGCGTTTTTCTGTATTTTTTTGCTGTTATTCTGTCTCTCACTGTTCAAATAAACATACCATTCAAATTATTGAATGATCATTTCTTTGTCAGTGGGCAAAGTACAAAATCAGCAGGGGATCAAATACTTTTTTCCCTCACTATAGATGTTGATCAGACTATCAACAAGTGATCCAGTGGATCAGCTATCAACTGCAACTCTGTTGACTTCAGATAACTGTAACTTGGGTATGGTAGATGATGTACCTGTGCAGTAGCGTCCGTTAGGTGCCAGGGCAAAGCCAGGTTTGCAGATACACTTGAAGCTACCATCCTCATTGATACACATTCCATTGAGACACATGTTGGTGGTGGCACACTCATCATGATCTGGAAGAGAACAAGGAGACAAGTTTTAATTTATAGTGGTATAGACGTGCAATAATCTACCATATCCGTTGATTGAATATATACATGAATGTCCATTGTTACCTATGCAGTTCTTTCCATCAGGAGTGAGTTCAAAGCCAGCGTTGCAGATGCACTGGAAGCTTCCGCCAGTGTTGACACAACGTCCGTTACGACACATCACTCCGTTCACGATGCACTCGTCAATATCTGTGGAGGGGAGGGAAGGGGAGGGGAGTTTAGGCTTAGTTTGACTGTTAGCCAGGTTAGGTACCAGTCTGTTACAAGCAGAGACCGTCAGTAGCCCAAAGTACACAGTCCATCCATACCATTCAACTGTTGTAATAAATAATTATCATGGTCTGTAGTTGTTCTGGTGAGTAATTGGAACATACCAATGCAGGCCTGTTTGGTGGGGGTGCCCTGGTAGCCTTCGTGACACTTGCAGTGGTACGATCCAGGTGTGTTGACACAGTCTCCATTGACACAGGGGTTGCTGACACACTCATCCACATCTGAAGGAGGGAGGAGAAGAGAGGAGGGAGATGAAGAGAGATTAGTTTATCAGTTAAACCCAGGGTGCTCCAATTACAGTTTATCAGTAAAACCCAGGGTGCTCCAATTACAAATCTGAACACTCCCATACTTGTTAAAAAAGGTTTAAGAATCAATGCTACTGTGTAAAGATACCCTGAGTTAAACATCTACCAGAGAAGTTCCATGCGTGGTCATAAGATGGCAGTAGAGTATATGTAATTTTCCTAACTGTAATTACTTTCTAGTGGGCTTACCAATACACTCCCCGCGTACATCCTGTCTGTAGCCCATGTTACATTCACAGCGGTAGCTGGTCGGGGTGGGGATACAGCGGCCGTTCAAACACAGGTTGGTGAAATGTTTACACACATCAACGGTCTCATTGAGTGACACTGAGGATACACAACACAACACACAATTACATTACCTTACCAAACAATGTTTATTATTTTCTAAAACACAGTGAAGAACATGAAAAGAGATGAAAAGTTGCTCCCATCACTATTTTGACATTCAGGTTTGTCTCATTGAGATACAATCTCTTCTCCAAAAGACCTAGTCCATGAACTGATCAACAGGTTATACATTGTGGTGGCAGCATCATGCTGTGGGGATGTTTTTCAGCGGCAGGGACTGGGAGACTAGTCAGGATCATGGGAAAGATGAACCGAGCAAAGTGCAGAGAGATCCTTGATGAAAACCTGCTCCAGAGCGCTCAGGACCTCAGACTGGGTTGAAGGTTCACCTTCCAACAGGACAACGACCCTAAGTACACAGCCAAGACAACACAGGAGTGGCTTCGGGACAAGTCTCTGAATGTCCTTGAGTGGCCCAGCCAGAGCCCGGACTTGAACCCGATCGAACATCTCTGGAAAGACCTGAAAATAGCTGTGCAACGACGCTCCCCATCCAAGCTGATAGAGCTTGAGAGGATCTGCAGAGAAGAATAGGAGAAACTCCCCAAATACAAGTGTGCCAAGCTTGTAGCGTCATACCCAAGAAGACTCAAGGCTGTAATCACTTCCAAAGGTGCTTCAACAAAGTACTAAGTAAAGGGTCTGAATACTTATGTAAATGTCATTATTTATTTTATTTTATATGTGCAAACATTTCCAAAAAACAGTTTTTGCTTTGTCATTATGGGGTATTGTGTATAGATTGATGAGGGAAAAAAACAATTTAATCAATTTTAGAATAAGGCTGTAACGTAACAAAATATAGAAAAAGTCAAGGGGTCTGAATACTTTCCGAATGCACTTTATACTCAGTTTAAACCATAGAATTAGGAATTAGAATACTAGTACTTTTATAATTTCTATGGTTTAAACACCATCTAATATCTCTGATACAAAACATAAAACCACAGGCTAACAATAGAACACTACTCTATGGACACTTTTTGCGGCCTAACCAACTCACCGATATTACGCCCCCCACCGTTTCCTCCGAAACCATTTCCTCCTCCTCCCTGTCCCCCTCCTCCAATGCCATGGTGACCATTGCCGTTAGGTCCGTTGGGGTTGAGTTTGTAGCCGTAGCTGTAACCGTTACCGTTGCTGCCACCACCATTGGGGAAGCCTCCGTGGGGGAAACCTCCATTACCTGTGCCATGGGGAACCCCCTCGATGCACAGCCTTCTGTACTCATCTACAGGAGAGAGCATGGAAAGGGTTAATGTTGGTTATCTTCAAATGACTCCCATACACACATTTATCTCAGTATGTTGTTTTGTTATGGTTTGGGTCAGTTTGACCTATTTTGATATTATATACTGTATATGGGTAAGTGGTTGCATAAACTCACACATTGGAACAATGCCTGGGCATGATTATGTCTGGAAAATGGGGATGTATATGTAAAACCCTGATCGGATCTATGTTTATGTCTATGGTTAAATCTATGTTTACATTTATTTATGTATGTCAGTGTGAAATCTCTTGAATGTGAGTGTATGTTTTTTTCATGGTAGGTCCAAAGGGAGTTGATGTCAGTATCCTAGCCAAGACTACAGACAATGCACATACACACACACGCGCACGCACACACACACACACACACACACACACACACACACACACACACACACACACACACACACACACACACACACACACAGTCTTGCGCAGCTAACCTTGTGGGGACATACAATTCAGTCCCATTCAAAATCCTATTTTCCTTAACCCCTAACCCGTACCCTAACCTTAACCCTAACCCTAAACCTAACCATAGCTCCTAACCCTAACCGTAACACTAACCCTAGCTCCTAACCCTAACACTAATTCTAACCCTAACCCTAAACCCCTTAGAAATAGCATTTGACCTTGGGAGTGAAGGCTGGCTGTATTTGTGTGTGTGTGTGTATGCGTGAGTGCATGTGTGCGTGTGAGAGTACAGCTCAGCACTCATTTATACACACACGACATGCATGAAAGAAAAAATGAACACACACACACTCTCATAGGGGAACAGACATATGTGAGCTAGATAGACAAGACCACGGTCATGGTCTTCACCCAGATCTTTTCCATCTTTGTCCTTTTGCTATTAGTCATGAGGTCATGCTCTTCAGTAGTGAGGGGATGTGGGATCATGGATCACTTACATTGTCAGTTACATGACAGGCAATCCAAGCTATTCAAGCTATTCATTCATAACACATGCACAAAATAACTCATCAATTGATGTGCAAAAGGGAGTTTGGACTGTGGGTTAGTAGTCTTAAATTGTGTGTGTGTCTGAGACAGACGAGGAGGAGAGAGTGTGTATGTGTGTGCTCACCGGACCCCCTGACAGGGCACATCTCAGGGATCTGTCCAGAAGCCCAGCAGCGGCCTGTGTCACAGCAGCACTGCATCTTGGTATACTGGCCCTGCAGGTCGCCTGCACAGCGCCCACTCGCCAACGCCGAGAAACACGTGCCCACACGTTGGTCTGAGGGAGGAGTGGATGGAGGGAGAGGATGGAGGGAGAGGATGGAGGGAGAGGATGGAGGGAGAGATGGAGGGGAGAAGGGAGAGAGAAAGAGAGTTGGGAAGAGAGGTCAGTATGCTTCAGGGTAAGTCACTCAAATCGCTCATGATGTTGTAAACACGTTTGACTTCCAGGTCATGTAGAACATCTAATGTTACTATTTCACCTTTAGGCAGACCATGTTATAATGCACATGCTTTACCATACTGGAAATACTCTGGTGACAAGGTATAACCACAGTTTCTACTGAGTCACAGTGTACGATTCTGACGGGAAACAAGGGTTTCTACATCCTTCCGGATCACAAGAAAATTCAAAAGCTTTCAGCACAAAAAAGCTTGACAATCACCTCCCTACCACAAAGATGGTACGCAATTGGGAGTAGGGAGTGGGGATGGAGGTGTGGTTCCTCCAGCCCTGAGGAGATGTTACAGCTAACAGCTGTCCCCAAATGCCAGGGCTGCCTTTCCCCTCCCTACCCTCTACATGGTAGCATGGGAGGAAGCTAATTTATGGTCTGGGAGCTGTAAAGGTCTCAGGGGTCCTAATAACTGCAGGCATCACAAGGGCCTCCTAATATGGCCCTGTTGTTTGCTACAGTCCCACAGGTCAGGGTAAATAGGCTGGGGGAGGAAGGGGGAGGGAAAGGGTGTGTTCGGGGTAAGTGGAGAAGAAGTGAGGGTCCCTTGGTGCATGCGTGTGTTTGTGTGTGTAATGCAGATGAAAGTGTAGGGGGAAAGACAGAGGGGGGAGGGGGAGGCAGGCGTGCAAGTCGATTAACTTTGCTAATGAGCTAGCAGTCCGGAATTAATTAGTTCCATGTGGAGCAATCCTGGACAATTATATTGGACATGAGAAGCTCTGTGTCTGGGGCATATAGCCATGCACTTTAAACAGGCCAACTTCCCCTCCCTCCCTCCTTCCCAAGGGACCAACCCAGCTGGGGGCAGGATTGGAGGGAGAGTGGGTGAGGGAACGGAATGGAAGGGAGAAGGGAGGGCGGTGATGGGGATGATGATGACTTAAATTGGAACCAGACCCTTAGCTAGCTAGCTAGCTAGCCTATAGCGAACAGCACAACTGCATGCTTTCTTTTTTACAGACTGGGTTTTCACGGTGCGACGGACGGGGCATTAGGGCTGATTAGTGTCGGGCTCAACAGGTCCCTCCGGTCTGCTTCTCCACGCTATGCTGTCCCAGAATAACGCCAGCCCAGGGCCAAGGGCAGGCAGGCAAGAAATCAGCTCGGCTAGAGCCGACATTCCTGGACCTAGAGCCCCCTGCTCACCTCGTGTAGTTTCTTAGTCTACCTCCACTCGCAAAACGCACCCAAGCAAACATGGCCGAGTCGGCGGACACACACAGGGGAGCCAGCCACAGCATGGGTCTGGCTGGAGCTGAGGAAATACGGTGGGATGTGTCAATGTGTCAGACAGGGCCTGATATCACAGCTCTCTTTGATTTGTTCCTGGGGACTCTACAGTTCACCGGGTTACACTAGACAGATGGATGGGCGCTCTGGGTGAGAAACGATGGAAAGAGAAAACAGGGGGTAAGCAAAAAAGGGGCATGGAGAAGAGAGGGAGAAAGCAAGAGAACGGGGGCAGAGAAAGAAAGAGAGGGGGTGGGAGGAATGTTAGCGGAAAGAAATATCTCCAGTGTGACTCTCTCTCTCCTCAATCTCCCCCTGACCAGAGTGAGAGAGAGAAAGAGAAGAGGGGACAAAAACGAAGGAGTCTAATGGGTCAAAGAAGAGAGAATTGGGGGAAGACAGAGAGATAGAAGTGAGGACAGAGAGAGAGAGAGAGCGACAGAGTCTTCTTGGTCAAAGTGAAGACAGAGCATGAGACCCAGTTTAACCTGTTGGACCATCCCATATGTCTCTCTCTCCTCCCCCCACCACCCCCCTGTTCCTACCTCAGTGGACCGTCATTTTCCACACGCATGTTCCCAATCAGGCTACGCTTCCCTCTCCTTTCCCCTCGTCCCTCTCTCCCACTGCTCTACCCATTTGTTCTGGCACAGAACAACAGAGAAAGGGGATAGTTTGGATAGTTTTCTCCTCTCTCCACCCCCTCTCTTTCTCCCCTCTTCTCTGGCTCGTCTTGCTTGTTGTCGTGGTGGTGTCAGCTTTGTTCTCCTGCAGGCCTCTAAGTGAGTCCAGATGCTTTCTACCTTGAAGCTAAACAATCTGCCACACGACCAGGCCAGGCAGAACAGAAGAGAACAGAGGGCTCCTTGTGAGATCATTGTTGACACTGTTCATTGTTCGCTTGGCATTTTCACCCGGTTTCCCTTTATTAGCCAAAAGACAACAAACAAGTACAGCAGAGATATTCAATAGATGATGGAAAATGGATTGCGTGCCAAAGAGAGAGGGGGGCCAACAAAACTTTGACCCGTGAGTGAATTTGAATACCTCGTTCTCCTGCCTAGGAGACATTGGGGCGTACGACTTTTCAATTAAAGTAATCAAGTGGTTCTGCTTGGCTAGGAGAGGGACCTTGAGTGAAAGAGATTTGTTGGACTCCCATTCGAACGCTGTTCGAAAGCAACAGGGCCAGCTCTCTGGCGGCCATTTTGAGGTGAGCTGCTGAAGATTGCATGCGCTCTACATTAACAGCTGGTAGTGTTTCAGGGTGTGAGTCAGAGAGGTGCTAATGCTAACTGGCATTACAGCAGTCAAGGCCGAGTGTGCGTCCCTGGGCCTGCACATGATGAATGCAGACCGGCTTGACTCATCAGAATGCTAGTCACAGGAAAGGAATTGGAGGGGGAAAGAGAGGAGGGAGGGATAAGTTCAGATGTGAACAGTCAGTGGCTAACAAGAGGGTGAAGGAGGGAGGGATAAGTCCAGATGTGAACAGTCAGTGGCTAACAAGAGGGTGAAGGAGGGAGGGATAAGTCCAGATGTGAACAGTCAGTGGCTAACAAGAGGGTGAAGGAGGGAGGGAGGGGTGTGTGTCCGGGGGGGAAGGGGGGGGGGGGCAGCGCTAACTCACCTACACATCTGGCACCGTCAGTGCTGGTGATGTAACCACGGGGACAGGTGCAGACGTAGCTGCCGGCTGTGTTGGTGCATTCACCTCCATCACAAACACCTGGGTTAGTGCTGCACTCGTCAATATCTGAAACACACACACACAAACAATTAGATCATTGGAGTTAGAGCATACACTGAGCTTCATGAGAGTCATACACTCATCATACACACGCAGTAACTCAAAACCCTGTCACAGGCATTATTTGGAAGAATTCATTTTCCTCGATAACAGCTGCTCAAAGTATTTGGATCCATCTCAAATATTTGAAGAAGTGGACTATATCTCATCTGTCAAATACACTTGAGGGCCTCAAATAATAACTGCTCATAACTCTAAATACAAGAGCAGGAACAACTGCTACACTGTTCGAAAAAAGGGTTCTAAACGGGTTCTTCGGCTGTCCCAATAGGAGAACCCTTTTTGGTTCCAGGTCGAACCCTTCTGGGTTCCATGTAGAACCCTCTGTGGAAAAAGTTTTACATGGAACACAAAAGGGTTCTACCTGGAACCAAAAAGGGTTCTTCAAAGGGTTCTCCTATAGGGACAGCCGAAGAACCCTTTTAGGTTCTAGATAGCACTTTTTTTGTGTACTAGACACAGTCAAGCCAACCTGAGTGGAGATCTGAAGTCTACAAAAGGAGGAGGCGGTCATATGGAAAATCTCTGGGATTGTGTTCTGCCAAAGACTTCATAACTGTGGTGGATTTTAAGAGGTCTAAATGGTGAGAGTTTCCCACACGCACAACGCCATGGGAATACTTCAGCTGTCCCGGAGAGACTACGGTCAGGGTCAGTTTGTCCTATCTGGTGTAATTCTCCTGTCTTATCTGGTGTCCTGTGTGGTCTTAAGTATGCTCCCTTTAATTCTACCATCTCTTTCTGGCTCTCTCTCTCTCCCCTCCCGGAGGACCTGAGCCCTAGGACCATGCCTCAGGACTACCTGGCCTAACGACTCCTGGCTGTCCCCATCCCCAGTCCACCTGGTCGTGCTGCTGATCCAGGTTCTGCTGTTCTGGAACCCTGACCTGTTCACCGGACCTGCTACCTTGTCCCGGACCTGCTCTTTCGACCCTCTCTCTCCCTTTCTCTCTAAAAAGGGCTTTATAAATAAATGTGATTGAAATTTGATTGACTACAGATGTAGGATCTTCATTTGAGCCAGTTTCCTACAGCAGGAAAATAATCCTGCAGCAACAGGAGATGGGAATTATTATGTGCATTATAATTAATGGACATTTTTGTAGGGGTTGATCAATTTTTTGTTAGGGCAAATCAAGTGTGAATTTTCAAAGTGTAAATTACAAACTTTAAAATACTTTTAAAAACCCAAATACACTACAAGTTTTCATTTCATGCAGTACAGGAAAATACTCAACAACAAAAGAGTGATCAAATTAAGATCCTACATCTGTACACTAGACCTGGGAGTCAGCAGTATAGAGCTAGTGCGTGTGTGTGTGTGTGTGAGAGAGAAAGAGCCAGTACTTGGCAGGGTCCAGTCTGCCGTGTGGTGTATTACAGTATATAACCCTACACATGAAAAGGCCTCTCACTGCTATGATGGTGAGAGTGAAGTGAGGCTCCAGAAGGCATTGGGTTTATATGATGTGTTACGCTTATTTATGCACATATATAATTACCTTTTTGGTCAAATTACAGTATGCATATTTGTATAGTGTGGCGTGTGAGAGGCGGGCCCGTAAATGTGAGTGTGCAGTCGGTGGGTATGCATTAGTAGTGTGTGCGTGTGTGTTGGCAGTGGGTAAGCATCAACGCTGTCTATGGGGCAGTGTGTGCGTGTATGTAATGGGAAGTTAAGAGACACTGGGTCCCCTGCTGACTATTGTCAGACTGCGGTGGTGAAAGGTTCTCCTCAAGTCATAAAAGAGCAGAAAAATAAACGTGGTGTCAGCATTCCTCCCCCTGAATAGGACCAGACTTTACACAGCTCAGACATGCAGCGCTGTGTGTGTGGAGGGAAATGTCTGCCACCTGGATAAATGACCACTGTTCAATCATCAAAGTGTGTGTTGTGAGACTGTGTTTGTGTGTGAGAGAAAGTATGTATGCGTTGTGTATATGTATGAGTGAGTGTGTATGTGTGTGTGTGTGTGTGTGTATGTCTGTATAGGTTGAGTGTGTCAGTGAGTGTGTATCTCTGTATAGTACAGGTGTCTGTGTGTGTGTAAGAGTGTGTCTGTATGTATAGTATGTATAGTATGTATAGTGTGTGTGGGTCCACAAGTGTCAGACGATAAAGTCATCTCTGCTCTGTAAATGTTTCTTTGTGCTAGCGCTAACAGCTGGCCCTGTGCCAGTAGACTGTATTTATTGAAGGAAAATGGGGGGCAAAAAAGAAGGAGAGAAAAAAGAACAAGTGTGAAACACTACTGGAGTGAAAAGAGGTATGAAATCAGCTGGGTTGCTTTGGCCAAGAAGAACTACCTCCCAGACATGTTAACAGCGCCAAGGCTGGCTCCACTAGAACATGAGGACATGTTTGTGCATAAACTTGGAGGGCATTTTGAAACCCATTTTCCTTTGGAATACTGATGGTGGTCTGTGATGTCATAACTGAACAAAATGGGTCTTGAATCTCTCAATCTCAGAGCTGTGCTATTTGAGGTATCTGGGCATTTATAGTTATGGACGGTAGGTTGGCAGGTAGCCTGGCGGGTAGGAGTGTTGGGCCAATAACCAAAAGGTTGCTGGTTCGAATCCCTGAGCTGAGAAGGTAAAAATCTGTAGTTCTGCCCTTGAGCAAGGCAGTTAACCCACTGTTCCCCGGGCACCAATGACGTGGATGTTGATTAAGGCAGCCCCCCCCCCCAAACGCCCTGATTCAGAGGTGTTGGGTTAAATGTGAAAGACACATTTCAGTTGAATGCATTCAGTTGTACAACTGACTAGATATCTTCCATTTAAACTCTGTATTCTCTACCCTTTAGTGGACTATGAAATGCTTGACGTTTTGAGACTAAAAACTGACTGCCCCAATTAAGCTCTAAAACAATGTTCCCTAAAAGCAGCCCCCACCTTGGCCCAAACGAAGCCCAGCGATAGAGCCTCAGGCCTGGGGCTGATCCACTACTGTCTTCCATTGTCCTATAATTAGTTAACCTCCAAGGACCTCCACTCCGATACGCTGCCTCTCATCCCACCAGGCTTCAAAGACTACAGGGCACAGGGCACCTCTCCTGCTAGTCCAGCCAACAGGCCTCCGGCACCATAAGGCTGCTGCAGCACAATCCAATTTCAGTGGGACTGTGATAGGACAGCAGTGTCTGTGTTTGTGTGAGTACATGAAAGCATGCATGTCTGTGAGAGAGAGAGAGAGAGAGAGAGAGAGAGAGAGAGAGAGAGAGAGAGAGAGAGAGAGAGAGAGAGAGAGAGAGAGTGTGTGTGTGTGAATCTTTCCCTCATCACATGACCAGCTAATTAGAGGCTCCTCCAGGTATATAAGGGTTTCTAACCCTTCATTAACCCCCAGGGCCTACTGATGTCTAACAGCTGAGCTCTCTCTTGCTCTATAGCTGTCACTGGACACCCAGTCTCTGTTCAAATGCACCCTTTCTTCCTTGTGTGTGTACATTTCCATACCAGAGACTTGATAACCACAGAAGGCAATAGCCACAGTACTCAAAACTGCTAACAAAACCCTGCCAAAAAACCAAAACAATGCAATTCAAAATCAAATTATTAACTGAGGCACTGAGTTCAGTTAGCTAAGCCTACTTTAATTTACGACCAATATGTTTTCCATTACACAAATTCATTGTTATACATTCCTATTTGTTATATAAGGTGTATAATATAATATCACCACAGAGGGTCTGTGTGTGGGACTCACCTTCGCACTTGTGGCTGGTGTCACTCTGGCGGTGGCCCGCTGGACATTTACACTCATAGGAGCCCACTGTGTTGATACAATTACCTCCTGCACACAGCCCCGGGATGGCCTGACATTCATCCACATCTACAGGGGAAAGGAGGGAGAGAGAGAGAGAGAGAGAGAAAGGGGGGAGGGGCAAGAGTAGGAGAGCGAGGAAGGGGATGGGGTAAAGAGAGAGAAAAAGGGAGAGAGAGGGGGAAATGGGGAAGAGAGGTATGGAGAAAGGGAGAAAGAGGGGAAAGGAGAGAGAGGGAAATGAGGGAGAGAGAATGGAGACCATCAGCACAAATAAGCAGCACTTAACAGGAGTTGCTTTAAGAGATGCACTTTAAAGTACTCTGAGTCTACTCTTAATGAGCTAAGAATCTTCCAAAGCTTTACTGCCCACTAGTCTATAAATGTGTGTGAAAGAATTTGGATTTTACGCTCTGTGATTTATAGCACCTTTAAAGTGAAGTAGGCTGGGCGCACACATTACATTATAGTACAATAATCAATCATGAGAAGACATATGGCAAAAATATTTATTTTTCTGAACTTTCAGTCCCGTATTAAAACCTGTTGAAAGGGGCGCAGCAGGAAAGAACAGGGGATATCTTGGCACCTCCACCTAGGAACCAAGATGACTCCAGACTGCAGCCCTTGTTTGAGTAGGGAGTGGGTTCATGTATGCGCATATTTCCCCATCATGCCGTGAGTAACGAGGATGGAGCTGTGGGCATGGGGCTCTGATCTGACAGTAAACACGGTAACCAGGAAGCACGACATGTCTTCTTTAGAGTTGTTTAACGAGAGGGAGGAGTCGTTTATCAGAGAAGAAGAGATAAAGAGAGCGGCCCAACTCGGTGGAAAATCTGTCTCCCTCCAGCAGGTGGCGATCATTGTTTTTTTTCGCCCACCAAGCAAGGAGTTGTTGTGTGGAGGTCAATGAGAGTGTTGAATTTGGTCAACAAAAAAATATATACGGCTTATTTTCTATGTGAGGTTTATTTATTTGTTTGAATAGAAGTTTCGTAATGCTTAGGTTGTTACAAGTTTACTGATATACAGTACCAGTCAAAAGTTTGGACACACCTACTCATTCAAGGGTTTTTCTTTATTTTTACTATTTTCTACATTGTAGAATAATAGTGAAGACATCAAAACTATGAAATAACACATATGGAACCAAGAAAGTGTTAAACAAATCAAAATATATTTGATATTTGAGATTCTTCAAAGTAGCCACCCTTTGCCTTGATGACAGCTTTGCACACTCTTGGCATTCTCTCAACCAGCTTCATGAAGGTAGTCACCTGGAATGCATGTAAATTAACAGGTGTGCCTTGTTAAAAGTTAATTTATGGAATTTCTTTCCTTCTTAATGTGTTTCAGCCAATCAGTTGTGTTGTGACAAGGTAGGGGTGGTATACAGAAGATAGCCCTATTTGGTAAAAGACCAAGTCCATTTTATGGCAAGAACAGCTCAAATAAGCAAAGAGAAACGACAGTCCATCATTACTTTAAGACATGAAGGTCAGTAAATCTGGAAAATTTCAAGAACTTTGAAAGTTTCTTCAAGTACAGTTGCAAAAACCATCAAGCGCTATGATGAAATTGGCTCACATGAGGACCGCCACAGGAAAGGAACACCCAGAGTTACCTCTGCTGCAGATGATAAGTTCATTAGAGTTAACTGCACCTCAGATTGCAGCCCAAATAAATGCTTCACAGAGTTCAAGTAACAGACACATCTCAACATCAACTGTTCAGAGGAGATTGCGTGAATCAGGCCTTCATGGTCGAATTGCTGCAAAGAAACCACTACTAAAGGACACCAATAAGAAGAAGAGACTTGCTTGGGCCAAGAAACACGAGCAATGGACATTAGACCGGTGGAAATCTGTCCTTTGGTATGATGAGTCCAAATTTGAGATTTTTGGTTCCAACTGCCATGTCTTTGTGAGACGCAGAGTAGGTGAACGGATGATCTCTGCATGTGTGGTTCCCACCGTGAAGCATGGAGGAGGAGATGTGATGGTGTGGGGGTGCTTTGCTAGTGACACTGTCAGTGATTTATTTAGAATTCAAGGCACACTTAAACAGCATGGCTACCACAGCATTCTGCAGCGATACGCCATCCCATGTGGTTTGTGCTTAGTGGGACTAGCATTTGTTTTTCAACAGGACAATGACCCAACACACCTCCAGGCTGTGTAAGGGCTATTTGACCAAGAAGGAGAGTGATGGAGTGCTGCATCAGATGACCTGGCCTCCACAATCACCCGACCTCAACCCAATTGAGATGGTTTGGGATGAGTTGGACCGCAGAGTGAAGGAAAAGCAGCCAACAAGTGCTCAGCATATGTTGGAACTCCTTCAAGACTGTTGGAAAAGCATTCCAGGTGAAAATGGTTGAGAGAATGCCAAGTGTGTGCAAAACTGTCAAGGCAAAGGGTGGCTACTTTGAAGAATCCAAAATATAAAATATATTTTTTATATGTTTAACACTTTTTTGGTTACTACATGATTCCATATGTGTTATTTCATAGTTTTGATGTCTTCACTATTATTCTACAATGTAGAAAATTGTAAAAATAAAGAAAAACCCTTGAACTTGAATGAGTAGGTGTGTCCAAACTTTTGACTGGTACGGTAAGTAGGACTTATGACATCCCCGCAACTTTGAGAAAAAACACTTCATATCAGAGTTGTCTCGAGATGGCTATGCATATTCATTGCATGAGGCTAGTAGCATAGCATCTCTCCATTGAATACAGGCGGTTGATGTCAACAACCCCCATCAAATATTCAAGAAAGTATTAAAATACACTGCTCAAAAAAATAAAGGGAACACTTAAACAACACAATGTAACTCCAAGTCAATCACACTTCTGTGAAATCAAACTGTCCACTTAGGAAGCAACACTGATTGACAATACATTTCACATGCTGTTGTGCAAATGGAATAGACAACAGGTGGAAATTATAGGCAATTAGCAAGACACTCCCAATAAAGAAGTGGTTCTGCATGTGGTGACCACAGACCACTTCTCAGTTCCTATGCTTCCTGGCTGATGTTTTTGGTCACTTTTGAATGCTGGCGGTGCTTTCACTCTAGTGGTAGCATGAGACGGAGTCTACAACCCACACAAGTGGCTCAGGTAGTGCAGCTCATCCAGGATGGCACATCAATGCGAGCTGTGGCAAGAAGGTTTGCTGTGTCTGTCAGCGTAGTGTCCAGAGCATGGAGGCGCTACCAGGAGACAGGCCAGTACATCAGGAGACGTGGAGGAGGCCGTAGGAGGGCAACAACCCAGCAGCAGGACCGCTACCTCCGCCTTTGTGCAAGGAGGAGCAGGAGGAGCACTGCCAGAGCCCTACAAAATGACCTCCAGCAGGCCACAAATGTGCATGTGTCTGCTCAAACGGTCAGAAACAGATTCCATGAGGGTGGTATGAGGGCCCGACGTCCACAGGTGGGGGTTGTGCTTACAGCCCAACACCGTGCAGGACGTTTGGCATTTGCCAGAGAACACCAAGATTGGCAAATTCGCCACTGGCGCCCTGTGCTCTTCACAGATGAAAGCAGGTTCACACTGAGCACATGTGACAGACGTGACAGAGTCTGGAGACGCCGTGGAGAACGTTCTGCTGCCTGCAACATCCACCAGCATGACCGGTTTGGCGGTGGGTCAGTCATGGTGTGGGGTGGCATTTCTTTGGGGGGCCGCACAGCCCTCCATGTGCTCGCCAGAGGTAGCCTGACTGCCATTAGGTTCCGAGATGAGATCCTCAGACCCCTTGTGAGACCATATGCTGGTGCGGTTGGCCCTGGGTTCCTCCTAATGCAAGACAATGCTAGACCTCATGTGGCTGGAGTGTGTCAGCAGTTCCTGCAAGAGGAAGGCATTGATGCTATGGACTGGCCCGCCCGTTCCCCAGACCTGAATCCAATTGAGCACATCTGGGACATCATGTCTCGCTCCATCCACCAACGCCACGTTGCACCACAGACTGTCCAGGAGTTGGCGGATGCTTTAGTCCAGGTCTGGGAGGAGATCCCTCAGGAGACCATCCGCCACCTCATCAGGAGCATGCCCAGGCGTTGTAGGGAGGTCATACAGGCACGTGGAGGCCACACACACTACTGAGCCTCATTTTGACTTGTTTTAAGGACATTACATCAAAGTTGGATCAGCCTGTAGTGTGGTTTTTCACTTTAATTTTGAGGGTGACTCCAAATCCAGACCTCCGTGGGTTGATACATTTGATTTCCATTGATAATTTTTGTGTGATTTTGTTGTCAGCACATTCAACTATGTAAAAAAAAAAGTATTTAATAAGATTATTTCATTCATTCAGATCTAGGATGTGTTGTTTAAGTGTTCCCTTAATTTTTTTGAGCAGTGTAATTAGATGTATTTACCAACCAAAGAAAGGATAGGCGGGAGCTCGACAGCCCACCGTGCCGCTTTGTGGACAAAGACTCCCATTGTTAGGGCGGAGAGACAAGTATCTTGTCAGTATATCCATAATCTTTGTCGCTTCCCCTCTTCACACATTTACACTTCATTAGCTCACAGTCTGGCCATGCTGGCCAGTGAGAGGTGTTGGTGTTTCGTCATCTTCAGTGGAAACACATTGACTCAGACCCCTTAGATCGTTAGTGTCTAGAGGGGGTTCGTCTGGTCAGGGTGTGTGAATGTGTGCTGAGACTGGTATTTGTCTGGATGGTATGAATTCATAGACAAGTGTAGAATCTCAATTGTATATTCCTCGCATCCTCTCATCTCCTTCTCAAAACCCATTGGATGAGAAAGCCAGAGGTCCCTCCCCTCTGACCTTTTCCTCCAATGGGTTTAGAGAAAGAGACGAGGAGAGAGGATGGGAGGAGTATGAAATTGAGATCTTCTCATAGAAACACACAGACCTGCAGACACACACACCTGGTCATCCAACTCTGTGAGAGGGAAGTTGGCATGCCTTGCCAGTCCCCAGCTAAGCAGCCAAGATGAATACCGCCCTCTCTCTCTCTCAAACACACACATGCATGCACGCACACACACACATCCTGTTTCTAATCATGTGAATATATTTGACCTCTGTTCCCTTTTAACAAAGCCTGAAAATGTGCTCACGTGTTGAGGAGCGTCCAAATCCATGATGCTTGGAACGCTATCCTTACATTGGGATTCATGTGCATGTGTGCTTTGAACTGGCTCCAACAGGACTTTGCTCAGGGGCTTTTTGGCGATTAGGTGTCTTCTTTGGTGTGTATGTATATATAGAGGCAGATAGAGGTTCTGTGAAAGAACCTGACTTTTCATATAAAAACGCTTGAACAGAAAAGCTATCAGGAACTGATACTCTACCCACAAACTCACACATTTACACTCACCACTTACGCTGCTGCTACTGTCTATTATCTATCCTGTTGCCTAGTCACTTGAACCCCTTTAACCCTACCTATATGTACATAGCTACCTCAATTACCTCGTACCCCTGCACATCGACTCAACGTGTATTTATTCCTTGTGTCACTATTTATATTTTTTATCTTTAACTCTGTATTGTTGGAAAAGGACCGGTAAGTAAGCATTTCACTGTGTGTCTACACCTGTTGTTTACAAAGCAAGTGACAAATACCATTTTATTTTGATTTGATTTGACGAATGGGTTGACTTAGAGTTGAATGTAAGATGGTGGATTAGATCGATGCAGCTTTAGATAATAAAGGACTTTTGGTTTTTCAATGTGAGTCTCAAAGTCACAATCTGTAGTTGATTTTGTTTGAGCATCAATTTGCTTGCTTTTTGTCGTGTGGCCACAGCAGACAAAGAAGTCACAGATTGCCCCTTTAAGGCACTCAGTCAGTCACATTGGTAATTCCAAAGGAGTGCAGAGTGAGGCGTGAAGGTTTACTGCTGTCTCAGAGTCGTATTTCTTCAGTTGTTTAGTTCTATTTTTCATTAGACTGAGAGTATTTCTATTCAATTTGGCTTTCACCACACCTTCCTGAGAATGTGTCAACACTCAACAGGAACTTTAGAGGCCATGTCCACCTGCTTTCTGCCAATACAAGGGGAGTGTCCTGTTTCACCCAGGTGGCTGCTAGTGCTGCACATTGATGTGAATGAGGCAAGTGCCCCCCTTTGAGACTAAGTGAAAAACATTAAATAAAGGCAATCCATTATCTCAACACAAGGGTGTTGGCTAGACATCTCCCATTAAAATCTCCACAGAGAGGAAGAGGCTCCAGTCCATGGAGGGCAATTTACCTAAGAGGGGACACAACCTCTACGTGTGTCATCTAGTGATACAGCCTCACTGCTTAGTCTGGTTGGTCATTAGGGAGCCTCGTGTGGAGGCAGGGAGGGGCCAGACAATGAGGAGAGCGAGAGAGAGACCAACCAAGAATTCACAAAATGGGACAAACACCAAATTGAGACAGAATTCAGGGAGAATTCTGCAAAAATATCCTCTGTGTACAACGAAAAACACCAAATAATGCATGCAGAGCAGAATTAGGCCGATACCCGCTAATGATCAAATCCAGAAAAGAGCCGTTAAATTCTATAACCACTTAAAAGGAAGCAATTCCCAAACCTTCCATAACAAAGCCATCACCTACAAAGAGATTAACTTGGAGAAGCGTCCCCTAAGTAAGCTGGTCCTGGGGCTCAGTTCACAAACACAAACAGACCCCACAGAGCCCCAGGACAACAACAACAACACAATTAGACCCAACCAAATCATGAGAAAACAAAAAGAGAATTACTTGACACATTGAAAAGAATTAACAAAAAAACAGAGCAAACTAGAATGCTATTTGGCTCTAAACAGAGAGTACACAGTGGCAGAATACCTGACCACTGTGACTGACCCAAACTTAAGGAAAGCTTTGACTATGTACAGACTCAGTGAGCATAGCCTTGCTATTGAGAAAGGCCGCCGTAGGCAGGCCTGGCTCTCAAGAGAAGACAGGCCATGTGCACACTGCCCACAAAATGAGGTGGAAACTGAGCTGCCCTTCCTAACCTCCTGCCAAATGTATGACCATATTAGAGACACATATTTCCCTCAGATTACAGAGATCCACAAAGAATTCGAAAACAAACCCAATTTTGATAAACTCCCTTATCTACTGGGTGAAAAAGCACAGTGTGCCATCACAGCAGCAAGATTTATGAACTGTTGCCACAAGAAAAGGGCAACCAGTGAAGAACAAACACCATTGTAAATACAACCCATATTTATGTTTATTTATTTTCCCATTTGTACTTATATATATACATAATATGACATTTGAAATGTCTTTATTCTTTTGGAACTTCTGAGTGTAATGTTTACTGTTAATATTGATTGTTTATTTCACTTTTGTTTACTATCTACTTCACTTGCTTTGGCAATGTTAACATACGTTTCCCATGCCAATAAAGCCCTTAAATTGAATTGAAATTGAATTGAGAGAGAGAGAGAGAGAGAGAGAGAGAGAGAGAGAGAGAGAGAGAGAGAGAGAGAGAGAGAGAGATAGAGAGAGAGAGAGAGAGATAGATAGATAGATAGATAGATAGATAGATAGATAGATAGATAGAGAGAGAGAGAGAGAGAGAGAGAGAGAGAGAGAGAGAGGACAGCCTGTATTTACACAGACACTGGTCTGGGGCTGCTGCTGGAATGTTGATGAAGCAAGGTGAAACTCAGTTCATGAGGCGATGAAATTAGAACTCTTTCTCTCTTGCTCTCCCTCTCGTTCTCTCTGGCTTTGATGTGTATCTCTGCTCTGTGTGTGTGTGTTTTGGTTTCTCTGTGTGGGTGGCGGTTGCAGGCTGCAGGAGTTTGGTAACAGTATCAGAGATAGGATAGGATAAGGAAGGTGACTGTTACATTGACGTTTACACTAAACATGATGTTATTGAAGATGTTGCTGATGGTGACAGATTAAGTAATGGTTACAGTGTTCGTGATGAGGATGGTGTGTGTTTGTGTGTGACTCACTTGTAGAGTGTGTTTATATGTGGGTGTAAAAATGCATGCATGTGTGTGTCTTACCCTGGCACGCGCCGCTGCGGATGTTTGGGATGAAGCCTCGGCGACAGGGGTGAGGCTGGGCGGGGCACATCTCACAGGGGTGTCCCCATGCCCGTCCGATGGTGGCACAGCACAATGTCTTGGTGCACACGATGCCACTCAACTGGCCCTGGCACATCTGGTTGTTGACCTGCGTGAAGCAGGGCCCGGTCCGGTAGTCTGGAGCGAGAGAAGGAGAGAGAACAAGAATCAGCCATTTTGGCAGCCATTTTCTCATCCGACCTCTTTAAAATCCCCCTCTGAATGTTCTGTATAACTGAAAGGTAGTGAGGGAAAACACATCTAAAGCCAAGTCTATTTCACACTTCTGCTAGCTACACTTCATTGAATTTGAAGTGTTATTGAAATAAATATAAATATACCCCAGAAGAACACCATTTAATAGGCTTTAAATGTTGCAATCTGTCTGCGTCACTGTGTGTGAATGAATTTACCTCCCCAGACTAAATGCTGCTGCACATTCCTGGTTAGAGACTTTGGTCTAGAAATATGCTGAACAGTGGGTTCCCCTATTCACTGGTGTAATGGGATAACTATATAATGGGGGAACCCATTTAGTACTGGTTCCCATCAATAACAATCTTCCCATGACAAACATTCTTGGTCCAGACCAGGGGAGAACAACTGCCCCCTCTCATTGAAGCCATGGCAGTTCAAGGCCGACCGCGGTACTGCAGGCATTGTTAGCAGAAAACACAATACCATCATTATAGTGAATGGAAAAATGTTCAAGGTCAATCTTTGTGTAAATAAAAACATTTTCAAAGACAATCATGGTACCAGTAATTGCTTCTAATACACCAGATGTATGTCCTGTATACACCACTTATTTTTAAATCGCACACAGAAGAAGTTAAAAGGATAATTTAGTTGCTAATGGCAGCCTGCAGTACCCTGGTCGGCCTTCAATTTGAGTTACTCAATGAGAAGGGTGCAGCACTGAGCTAGCCTGCAACGTCACTTCCTGGATTAGCTCAAACTGAGCATGTTACATCTCCATTATTTTTTATTTATTTTTTGGTCATTTAGCAGACGCTCTTATCCAGAGCGACTTACAGGAGCAATTAGGGTTAAGTGCCTTGCTCAAGGGCACATCGACAGATTTTTTTCACCTAGTCGGCTCGGGGATTAGAACCAGCGACCTTTCGGTTACTGGCACAACGCTCTCCATGAGACGCCATCTTAATCGACTCCATTTGGCTTCAATGCACTATTGAGTCTTCACATAGGAATGAATGGTGTCACGTGATCAATGGCTTTGTCCATTCATATATACAGTCATTGGTCCAGACCCAGGTCTGAAGCTGGTCTGAAAGTCTGCTGGACCATGGTGAGGCTATCATCACTGTACCGAAGAGGGTTGAAACCGCTTTGAGCGTACTAACAAAGACACAGTGTGTATAAGCTGGAAGTGGAAGCTTAAGTATTGTTGTCCATCAGTTTACTGTAGCTCAGCTGGTAGAGCACGGCGCTTGTAACGCCAAGGTAGTGGGTTCGATCCCCGGGACCACCCATACACAAAAATGTATGCACGCACGACTGTAAGTCGCTTTGGATAAAAGCGTCTGCTAAATGGCATATTATATTATCATTATTATACTACAATTAGGGGAGGGGTGGTAGGGCTAGGGGAAAATAATAAAGATGGAAAATATATTTAAAAATATATATTTAAAATAATTAATATATATTTATATATTTAAAAAAAATATATATATATTTAAAAAATAAATAAATCTATATATATATATATATATATATATACAGTGAGGGAAAAAAGTATTTGATCTTCCTTTAAGAGTGTGCTCCTAATCTCAGCTCGTTACCTGTATAAAAGACACCTGGGAGCCAGACATCTTTCTGATTGAGAGGGGGTCAAATACTTATTTCCCTCATTCAAATGCAAATCAATTTATAACATTTTTGACATGTGTTTTTCTGGATGTTTTTGTTGTTATTCTGTCTCTCACTGTTCAAATAAACCTACCATTAAAATTATAGACTGATCATTTCTTTGTCAGTGGGCAAACTTACAAAATCAGCAGGGGATCAAATACTTTTTTCCCTCACTGTATATGGGGGATTGGAAATGATGCAGACAATTACATTGATAGAAGCCACAATCTATCTGCAATATTAAAGCTGATCTACCCCCTAAAAAATATATATATATAAATAAAGATACAGTGTGTCACTTTGTGTGGAAACAAAGTAATGAGAAGAACACAATGTCCTCGGACTTCAATGGCCACCTTGCTGCGCTGCTCACCAGGAACAACCAGGCGACATAATCTTGTTAACCGCACTTCACGAGTCAAACACAATGACCTCATGCTGAAACCATTTGAGCAATATGATGCCCATTCAATCGCACATAATAAAACTCAAACAGGCCTAATAATGGAAAGGCCTTATTAACTCCAGTAGTGGTGCCAAAATTAATACAGCATTCATTAGAGGTACTATAGATGGGTCGGAATTAAAATAAAATACATGGTCTGAGCTGTCAAGAGGAATGTAACATAAACCCTGGAGAAGTGGTTTTAGTTGACCCTCTTCAGTTCTAAAGGAGATGTACCGAGAGATAGGGCAGCTTTGTTGTAGTAGCGCTGCTCTTATTACTTCCTGGTGCAGCTAAATGAAAGGTAGATCACAGCCAGCCCAGACGGAGAACGAGTGAATGCGAGAGAGACAGAGTTAAAGTAGGTCAAACCCAGCAGAGAGAGTAAGAGAGAGAGAGAAAGAGAGAGAGAGAGAGAGAGAGAGAGAGAGAGAGAGAGAGAGAGAGGGATTGAGACAGATCTCAGCAGCCTCTTACTGTCCCCTCTCCTGTCCTCTCTCACTCACACCCATGACCTGAGAATCTCGCCTGGACAATTTGAGGCCGGGAATGCGAGTCCCCATCCGAGCGGCACAGACCCACTGTGGCGATAACAGCCACGCACATCTGGGCTTGATTAATCTGGCCTGGTCGCGACCAGGGAGGAACAACCTCTGGGCTTGATTAATCTGGCCTGGTTGGGACCAGGAAGGAACAACCTCTGGTCCAGATGTGTCCATCCGGAACTCTGAACTCTGAACCACTCTGGGCCACATCTACAACCCCCCACTATCTAACAAACTAAGCCCTCCATCTCTTCTGCTCTTCTACCAGTCAACTCTGCATTCAAAACTCATGTAAATCATAATACTCACACTAATGTTGGACTCATATGGTCCAATCCTTTATGTCCATCATGCTTTGATCTGGTTTTGATTTAATCATACATTGGAACAATTTCAGTAAAACTAAGTCGTGGAAGTGAGCGAGGAGCATAAACATGACCTTTATGGAGAGCTATAGGGAAGTTGTTCATGCAAAAGGTATGAGATGACATGGAAGGGAGCCATTTAAAGAAAGAAAGAGAAAGAAAAAGAGAGAGAGAGAGCTGCAATTCCTTTGATCAGCAGTGAGACCCTCAAAGTGAGGAGGCGTCTGGGCACTCCCATGGCCAAACCTTCAGAAGCAGCACTAGACGACTGCTTGAGGCTCTAGCCAAGTTCAGCAGAGCCCTGTCTATGTGTGCATACGCCTGAAGGAAAACACACCGTAGGTCGGCCGCCAAGCTAGGCCAAACAAAAGACTGGAGTGATCTGAGCGCTCGCTCTTTTAATGGACTGAATAACAATCGCCTTGCCAGGGTGTCTATGTCTCAACGCCACAAGACCCAACTGACTCAGAACCAGACAGACAGGCCAAGCAGTGAGTGGGTTGACCATGAGCAGGAAACATGCACATTCCAGGGCCAGAAGAGTTAGAAATGGGAATGGGGTATAAGGAACTGAGGTACTGGCTGGGCCGAAGTTCACAACATTCGGAAGCAATTTGATTTAATTACAGTTAAAATTGCTCTATAGATCGAAACTATTCGCCGGACCCCTCCCTCATCTCCTGTATCCTGTCTTTCACCACCATCTGTCTCCTTTCCAGGTATTTTCAGTTTCCTCCACATGCTCCCGACGAAGCACAGACCACTATAAATCAAATTCTTGGCCTTTTAATTGTGAAAACTCATCAAAGGCCACCTAATAAATTAAGACAGCCTCCTCATAGGAATGTATTGCATATCTGTTACATTAGAAGCAAGGCCAAAGTATTAAACATCTGCCAAGATGTGCTGGCCAAGTGTAACTCATCCCAGAGTTGGGTTAATGAGGTTATATTATTGACTCTCACCTATATAAGATCTGTCCAGCCAATCAGACCAACATCTGTAACTGGGTTAAATGTGATCTTTCCCTATTCCCCTTTTCCTGCCTGAGAGAAAGCATTTGATGAGAGGAGATGGGAATGGGATAATCTGGGAGCTGAGAAAAGGGATGTTAATCCAGTCAGGAATGCCGGCCAAGTCGGTTGGGAAACGCTCCCGACGTCAAGCTGCACGATCACAGGGATGAGGGAGGGAATGCCGACAAGCCTTCTTATGTCAACGGTCGGTGGAAACCAAGGGAAAGCGAGAGAAAATCTGCCAATTCCAAAGCGATCCGTACATGATGTATGGAGACAAATGGAGGAGGGTTGAGATAAGATATTATTATACTCAATGAAACATGTGATTACATGGGAAGGCAGTCATTAATGTTGGTCTGGAGAGAGGTCAGACTCCTCAGCGAGTGAAGGAGGAAACATAAGCAACTCACGGGTCTTCCTGTGGCTGCTTCACAGTTTCCTGACCTGGAGGCCCTTAGACCCATACAGCTGAGAGATTTACAACTCGCCTAAACAGAACGGACCGTGTCTACACCTCGCCATCTCTTTATCTCACAGCCAAGACGGGAGCTTTTCCACTTATCCCAAGCATGTGTGTGTGTGTGCACATCTTAACTTTATGTGCATGTGTGTGTGTGTGCATGTGTGTGTGTGTGTGTGTTTGTGCATACATCTGACTGCATGTGTGTCTGTGTGCGTGCGTGTGTGTTCACGTAAGTTTGTGTGCATCTGTGTGTGTGTATGTGTTTATCTATCTACACTCCTCAAATGTGTGTACAGTAGGTGTGTGTTATTCTCATTTTGGCACAAACTGTGCTGTTTCTGTTACTGTTATCAACAGCATTATTAACAGCCCTTAAATCTACTTTCCCTTCAGCTTAATGGCTCTAAGAGGTTGAACCCTTCCTCAGGACACTTGCCCAAATGTGATGATCCACTAGAATGCTTCCCCCTGTAACCCCTGCTTTGAGACTGTGGGAGACTGTGGAAGACTCAGGGAAAAGGGAGGGAGATAAACTCAAAGGCAGGATAACAATCTTGGCACCAGAAAGCTTTGTTGCCTGACTGCTAAGTTAATAGATAGCATTCTTTGAGGCAGAAACCACCACTGTGGATAATTATGCAGAACACACACACGACTGTGGAAACTCAAGTGAACACACATGGCTACAGTGCAGACACAACACAGTTCTTGCTCACCCATTAAAAGTGTGTTTTACGGTCTGTTCTCACTAATTTCAATCGTTTTCTTTGTACAGATACATTTTATTCCCCTCTCAAGTCCATTCTAACAACAGTCTCTACTCTAATTCAGAACAAATTGACTTAGCCTGGATTCCAGTGTATTTCTGCTGTAGTCATCTTGTCACAGTCTGGTTTGTTGCATGTGGCATTACTGATTGCAGAAACAGTCAGGCACCCAGGCTAAAAGTAGACCTACTACTAAAGAAGCTTCCTTATCTACTACTGTACTAAATTGCATAACATTAATAAGAAATCTCTGGACTCCATTGGTACATTGAGGGGACTCTTGCTTCTAGGACCTCAACTGATTTTCCATCAGGCAAGATCAAAGGCTACCCTTCACTGTGCCTCTTAGGACAACTCACAAATGTATTTACTTTTCTGAGGGCACTCAAATTATTTAATACATTTTGTTTATGGGAGAAATACCTAAATGTAGTGCCACTATGAAAAGCAGACGCAAAAAGCCAGCGTGTTTTTCTAACATTTCCAATGACACACAAAACATAACATGGCGATGTCATTAAAACGACATAAAAGGCATCACATGACGCTGAGATAAAGTTACTGTCCTCTACTCATTACAGAGTCACGGATCTCTCTTTCTGGCAGCATGTCCCACTCTATGAGGTCTCGATGGAGCTAAAGAATTACACACTTCTCTCCCTTGGACCCACCCTTCCCTTCCACTGGAGGAGCCTTTGTCAGACTACATGAGGAGGACAGAAATAGCAACACTTCCCCCTTTCCATCCCCTCATCATCGCCCTGACGTCATCATGGGCCAGCTCACCCGCCATTTTTTCGTTTTGTTTGGGCTGGGCTGGGTTGGATTGGGCTGACTGTGTGGGCCCATAAGAGTAATACTGTTCACTATTGGACCTGAGCCTGGTTAATGGGCCGAGACACACTGGACACATGAGCAGAACAACTCCCCATTGCCGCATTCATACAGCTGCTTCGTAATGAGAGGGCTTGGTGCTGCAGGCTGCAGAATGGACGGCTGCAGGCTGGAGGAGGCTTGGGATGGTGGGAAACTCAGCTGATTAGAGAGGGACCGAGTGGCTGTCAGTCTCCACTGTAACTCATGCTTAACCAGCATGTCTGCGACACACACACACACACACACACACACACACATCTTTTCACCAACTTTGCTCCTCACCCTGCCAGAGAAACCTATTAGACCAGAAGCTTTCCCTGTGACTCTAGGTAGACAGAGGAAAGCACCCACACCTACTGTAACTGTAATGTACTGTCAAAGCACCTCTGGGCTTGGTTTTACCGTGACACCCCACTTCAAAAACCACTAAGTGCAACCTTGGAGCAGCAACCTTGGAAAGTCAAAGATTTATCTAGCCGGATGTCTTCACAGGACAGGGTAGTAAAATCTCTGGTAATAATACCATGTAAATTCTCACTGAGTTAAGGAAGCCCTGGGATTATGTGAGAATTAAAGCACATCTCCTCTCTTTAGGTAGATGTGGATGATTGAGGAGGTGATAGAGGGACAGTTTTACAGCCTCTCCCAGACTTCGGCAGGGGCCGACGGAGAGACAGACGAGGGTCATATTTTTACAGGACACAGTGATGAGCCAATTGCAGGGCTGGGCGGGTTAGCACCACACACACAAGTGCATGTGCACACACACACACACACACTTTGGGGCAGTGGGGGGTTTGCTGGAGGGCTGTTGGGGTCCGGTGGTCTCCCTTCTCTCAAGACTGTTTTTGTTTGGCCGCGCCTGGCTCTGTGTACACAGCTGGGGAGTCCATTTTTACTTTTACCCCCTGCCTCTGCCTCCATCCCTCCCTCCTTCCCTCGCTCCACTCCTTGTCAGGAAATGTCCATGGCACTCCACAAATAAACTTATTTCTGTCATTCCAAAGGAGCTTTTTTATTGCCAGATATGAAGTTCATACTGTATACCACTTGATTGTGTGGCGTCTCTGTCAGAGCCCCAGGCACTGTTGTGATAATGTAAGAGGTTTTCATCAACTCTTGAAAAACCAATGGAGGTTGAGAGAAGGCGGCTTCTTTAGTGTTAAAAAAACGATGTGCTTCAGCTATAGGCCTACAGCAGTGTTTGTCAACTCCAGTCCTCCAGTATCCCCAACAGTACATATTTTTGTTGTTGCCCCTGACAAGCACACCTGATTCTATTTGTCAACTAATCATAAGCCCTTTTCAAGTTGAATCAGGTGTTTTTGACGGGGCTACAACAAAAACGTGTGCTGGTGGGGGTACCGGAGGACCGGAGTTGGGAAACACTGATCTACACTGGAGTTGCCCATCCCTATATACACATCAAACACTTTGGTTTTGAACAATAAATATCAAGAAACATTCCTCTGTTTACAGTAGGAGTGAAATGGGAAGACTGGGAAGGCTCTTACCTCTCTCGCACTGCGGGCCAGTGAAGCCGTAGACACAGGCACATCTGTTGGGCCCAATACAGCGCCCTCCGTTTTGGCAACCATTCTCACACACAGCTACAGAGAGGAGAGGGGAAGAGGTGTGTTAGGGTTCTGATACAGGTGGACAGAAACACACATACATACACACACAATAGCCGGGGGAGTGCTAAGTGTGCCGAGTGAGGTACTCACGCTGTCCACAGTGGTTGCCGGTGTAGCCCTTCTGACAGGAGCAGGAGTCCTCTTGGCAGCTGCCTCCGTTCATACACCTGACGTTACAGCTCTGCACTGTGGGACACACACAGGGGTCAACAGATGCAGCTGGAACAACTTGCCTGTGCTAGCCAAGAACCTCAACTCAACCAGCTGGTCACACACACAAGCAATGACCTCCAAAGGGAACTTCAATACCCAGGTGCTCGGTTTAACTTGGAACACCATTACAGTTCAACTCCATATTTGTGTAACAATGTTGTACAGATAGGTCTAGTATCAGACATGTGCCAAGACTAACAGTTAGTCCAATGCCTGGAAGTGACACTTGGGTACTGACTGTCTTTTACATACTGGTATTTGGGCTCTGACAGCATTTCAGTTTAACTCAACAATATCAACACTCACTTTTTACTATTACATTTTTGTAGAGCGCTCGACTGCAACAGAAAAGTATGGGCTGTATTTGTGTAGACCTAATTGTATTAGTCTATTGTTGAGCACTGTACTGCCACACAAGGCCCAGGCCCCACTCCAGCTACAGTTTAATCAAACTGACTGTGGAGGCTATAAGTTGAGCCAGCTGTGTCCTATAGATAGGAATGTGCTGAGATCTGAAAGCTTCAATCCTGGAGGAGCAGCATTCTTAGAACTCAAAGCAGCAAGCTTTCGACAGACAGACAGACAGAACAGAGTCTGCCCGAGACAGACAGACAGAGCCTTTCCGAGACAGATAGACAGACAGACAGACAGACAGAGACACTCAGTATGTTCGGGGGGAAGTGAGGAGATGTAAAACAGGCCCCCCACTGCTCTGCTCTATCCAACCAGATCTGTCAGAAACCAGCCAGCCTACAGCAGAGACCAGCCCATAGCAGAGTGGTATAATGAGAGGGCTTAGTCAGTCTCCCTAAAAACGCAGCACATTTCATGAGACTACTTCTACAGTAATTGATTCTGGCAGATGCCTATGTTTTTACTCAGCCTGGGTAGAACGGTACATGATGCCCATGCAAGCCATTGATTGGAAGTTGGAACACCCTTCTCACTCCCTCGCTCTTTCTCTAGCTTGCTGCCATCTTTAATTACTGTAATTCATCTCTCTTTCTCTTTCTTTACAGGCTGTGATTCATGAGGTGGTAAGGGTATACAGCATGACTGGATTTTCTGGACCCCTTCTTCGCCTCTACAGTTATTCTAGAACTTCCAGTTACTGTAAATGACCCAGTAGTACCATTCTGACTGACTGTACACAGCAAACCTAGCTAACGCCCAGTCTGACTCCAGGCCTGGCTAGCGTCTCGTGCAGACACTTGGTGATGGATTAGCGTGAATGCCTTTGGACTAGAGGTTTATGGGTTTGTGTACGGGTCTGCACGGCATGGGGAAGATCTATTCTCCCCAGACTCAACCTCAGCTCAACTCAGAGCTCCAGGGCAGTGGGCCATATCGTTTAACTCCCACAGCATTCAGGCTAATCTCTCAGGCCAACAGGGAAATGAAACATGAAAAATGACTCTATTGACTGATTGCAGCTCTGAACCACGATGCATTGCTAGGGGGAAAACAACTAGCGAGGACACATTTTTAGCATGACGTAATCATGCAAATGTTTTATCTAAACAGAGTGCAGCTCAGGCGAATTCGTCAATTTTTCAAATGTCTCTCATCCGTTCCAGAAAAAATATTCTAAATATGTCACAAAGGGAGGGGCGGGGGGGGCGGGGATTGGAAGAACATCAGACATGGCTGTAGACTCAGTTTACCAAAACTTTATGTTACAGCACATTTAGGGTTGAAGGGGTTCATGCATGTGTTTTCTCTGTAACGGGGGGTTGGTGGAAATGGAGGGGGTGGAAGGGGGGATGATCTCACTGGCTAGACCCGCTGACACCCCCCCGTTAAAGAGGGGAGAGATGGTCCATTCCTGTGACCCGTGCCTAGAGCGCCACACGTGCAGGAGGTTGGGGTCCCACAGACCATGAACCACAATGCACCTCTGTGTGGCTGCCCTGTGGGTCGGCCTGCATCCTCCACATCTGTGTGTTTTCTTTACGGGAGGTTGGGAGAGCATAGGAAACTAGTGGTGGTGGGGCTGGAACACTGAGGCACTTTATGGCTGTGTTCTGTTCTGTACTGGCTTATACACAGCTCCTGGGACCAGTGACATGTCAACGTCAAGTTCACTATGGAAATGTCATGTTGTGAAATACACGGGCTCGTGGAGAGACTTTGACGAACCGTGTCTGAAACGATTCACAGCATCACGTTTTTCATCGCCATGCAAATCAATCTGGTTGATGTAATAGTGTAGTCTGGTGAGTTTGGCTGAATCGCATTTCCATCTTTCAGTTTAGGACTTCAGTAAATACAATTTCATCTGATTAGTAAAGTTAATCAAATAGGGCTGGTTTTCCAGATACAGATTAAGCCTAGTCCTGGAATAAAAAGCATGCTCAATAGAGAATCTCCATTGAAATAACATTTATGCCAGAACTTAATCTGTGTCTAGGAATCCAGAATAAATTAACTATGGCAGTGATTACGATTTCTAAGAATGGAAGTCAAAGATTTAAGAAGGGAAGTCAAAGCTTTTTTTCTGGGGCTCTTCTGTCTGTGTCATAGATCTACAGGTATATGATACCACTTTCCCAGAGTTGTGCTGAGCCTGTATGGACCCCGTTGTCACGTCTCCACCCGTTGCTCCCCTCCGGCGCTCTGATTCGCCGGTCTACTGAGCCACCGGTCTGAGCGCACCACCTCGGCAACACCGGAATGGAAACCCAACGCACCCTAATCACCTCCAGCGCACCTGCACCTCATCATCTCATCACCACCCCTATTTAGCCCTGGACTGTTCTGGATGATGTTGTGTGTGATTGTTAAGCGTCGTGTCGGTTACGCTAGCGTTGTGATTTCGCTTGATCATTGTTAAGTAAACCTTGACCTTGTTAATTCTTGCGTCTGCGTCCTGCCTCTTCGTATCCTCAGTACTCGTCACACCCGTTAGTTGACAGCTGTTTCTGAGGGACTCTGATGTAGCGTTCATGGTCATTAGAGGGTAATTATAGTTATGGGAAGAGGTCTGAGATGACTGGACTGATCCTGGGCACAGCTGCTTCGCTGTGCCCAGGATCTATTGGTCAATAGTCCTTTATATTGCCTATATTCATTTATTTGTCAGGAACCATGTTGTAACAAAGTTAACGATAAGCAACAGGTCGCCCTTATGACAGGTCTCCCTTGAATACGAGATGGGTCATCTCAATGGTCAGCTTCCAGTTGAAGCTCGCATCTGCTACAAGACCATGGTGCTTGCCTACGGAGCTGTGAGGGGAACGGCACCTCCGTACCTTCAGGCTCTGATCAGTCCCTACACCCAAACGAGGGCATTGCGTTCATCCACCTCTGGCCTGCTGGCCCCCCTACCTCTGCGGAAGCACAGTTCCCGCTCAGCCCAGTCAAAACTGTTCGCTGCTCTGGCACCCCAATGGTGGAACAAGCTCCCTCACGACGCCAGGACAGCGGAGTCACTCACCACCTTCCGGAGACACTTGAAACCCCACCTCTTTAAGGAATACCTGGGATAGGATAAAGTAATCCTTCTACCCCCCCTTACCCCACCCCACAAAAAATTGTAAAGTGGTTATCCCACTGGCTATAAGGTGAATGCACCAATTTGTAAGTCGCTCTGGATAAGAGTGTCTGCTAAATGACGTAAATGTAAATGTAATGGGATTACCTTTATAAATAAAGGATAAAAAAAAATGCCTGGAAATGTACACACAGCCTTATAACTATAGTACGTGGATTAAGATACATATAAATAGCTTGACCGAAAACATGTTGCTGATTTCTTCCAAGTTGTTCCGACCTCTACATTCCCGATGTGGCCTCTGAGACATAAAAGTGCTATCAATAACCTGACCAATGACTACATTGCCAGAGACCGGGTGTAATTAAGGGAAGGGAAATTTACAGTATTTAAAAACAGGTCTCCATTTAGCTTTAAGCTTGTCAACTGCAGTGCATTAGTCTGTAGAGTCACCCAAAGCAGTATTGCATCTCACTTAAAGGGGCAATGCATTCAAAAATGTGATTTTCCTGTGTTTTATATATATTTCCACACTATGAGGTTGGAATAATACTATGAAATTGTGAAAATGATGATAATGCCCTTTCAGTGTAAGAGCTGTTTGAAAAGTTTGCCTGAAATTTCTGCTTGTTTTGCATTGGTGCGGTTTTGGACCGCCTGGCGGTATAAGTTCATAGACCACTAACAAAGAGTTTGCCCTCCTCTATGTCAATAACAGCTAGTTTTCTGGTTACAAATCCCTCCCATTAGGCCCCCCACTCAGACCATTTTTGTTTATTTTTGACCATTTTAATAAAAAAAACTATGACAGTAAGGTACTTCCCAGAGCTGGCAGGTGAGTGTATTTATGCCATGTTTAATCTCAACAGTCGTTAACCTGTGTAACCCTTGATCCCATTAAATCTTCCAGAAGGCCAGAAAGAGAGAATGCTTTTTAATGATACACACAAGTCACAGTGTTGAACTACAACATTTCTGGCCCGTTTGCCAAAAATATGAAACGGACCAATAAAATGATTCGTTTGGAAGAGAAAAAACAGGACAAAACAAACTCCAGACCTGGAAAATCCCAATACTGTAAGGCAGGTCTGTAAAAATCCCCTGTATGAGAGCAGAAGTGGTGAGTGTGACAATTAGTTCGCTACAGCTCTATGGGAAGCTCCTGCGTCCAGCTCCTCTCTCTCTCGCTGAGGGAAATTACTTCATACTGTTTTCAACCGTTTCCCATCACTTGGCTTTGGCTCTGCTGGAGGCCTGTCTCCAACATTCAGCCTATGGGGGGACGTTAGCCGCTCATACCCCGGTTTCGGGAACTGTTTTCCCAGCACATAAAGCTGGCGTCTGGCCTCTCTGGGGTGTCCGACCAATGTGTGTGGACTGTGGAGTAGATCCTGTTTCACACCTCAGGGCCAGATGGGCCGGCCCACACTCGGGGCTCAGAGCTCACTGTGTGTGTACGGGGGCCTGAAGGGGCTAGGCGTGACTGATGAGACTGCTCCCGCCCAGCCAAGCAGGTGAGCATGCTACACACACTCAGTAAGTGCTGTAAAACTGTTCCTCAGTGGGCTAGGCTAGGAGCCCCAGCCGTGTGCGTTAATCCTCCCAAACCCTTTGACCTGGAGGCTGAGTCTGGAGCAGCTGGAGGCTGTCAACCAGGCCAGGCTGTCTCTGAAGCAGCATTACCCTGACATGTTATAGCCCTCTGTGGGGGCAGGGAGGCCTGGCCATGTGGGTGCTGCTGGGCAGACAGTCAAAACCATGGATACACAGAGCTAGCTAGGCAAACTCAGTTTGAAATTTAGCAAATGGCAAATTGGAACGATCCCACTGGGCACACACTGGTTGACTCAACGTTGTTTCCACATAATTTCAATGAAATTACGTTGAATTGACGTCTGTGCCCAGTGGGATATTGTCATGGAACATTTAGTGGTGCCAACATGGATTGCGGAACTTTACACTATCTATAGCTGTGGTGGTCTATTGTGTGTGTTAGGTTGTATTGGGTGGTGTTGGGTTGTATTGGGTGGTTGCTGGGAGTGGGGTTGGGGGATGTAGGGTGTTGGATATTAGGACTCACCTCCGGCCCCGGCTCCGGCTCCGGCCCCACAGCTGGGGGAGAGCTGGCCGCTGCCGCAGGTGCACATGTTGGGTCTGGAGCAGAAGCCATCACCGCACGAGTTACGGCAGATCGCTGGGAGGAGAGAGATAGAAGAGAAGTCAAATATACAGTATGTCTAGATGAACTTCGGCCCAGCCAGCCAAAAGAGGATGGCCTGAGAACTCCTCTTGGCCTACTCTTTGTACGTAGATTTCTGTTAAGCACTTTCTGATAAGTTCATTTGTGGAAAGCTCTATATAAATCAAATGTGATTCATACAGGGGTTTTATAGACTACCAATGCAGAGGCAACCTGACTTTCAGTTTATTTGTATTGTGACCGTAGTGTCTCGGTACTTACGGACAATACACTGGTTCCCTCCAGGCAGAGTCTTCCAGCCAGGGCAACAGTAGGAGTGGAAGCGAGAGCCACACACATTGGGCCTGCAAGACAGGGAAAACAAACTCAGTACTCAACAGAGCCCCAATATATTTAAGCAAATCACAGACCCTGGCGACCTTTGCTTTCACTCTAAACAGCTCCAATGTTGACGGTAGGCATTTCTTGTATGGCTTACACGGAAATACCAGTTTGTTTTTAGTCATACTCTATGTACAGTTCCCAAGAAACAGGAGATATCTATCAACCCCTTTCTCTAAGCCTCCCTGGTCTCTGCTCTTCTGGCTAACATCCTGCCCGGTAACACGCCTCCTGGAGTCCAGGTTGTGCCTGCTGATTGATCGGGAGGCAAAATAAAAAAATTAAAAAGATTGGACAGGAGGCTGCCCTGATCACAAATAAAAAAATTAAAAAGATTGGACAGGAGGCTGCCCTGATCACTGACACATGTAAGAGTCATCAAACAGCTCAGAGAATGGTTGACTGGTCTTCCAGATTAGCTACAACATCCCCCTGAGGGAACATTCCAATCACATCCACACATAACAGACCTGGTCTCAAGTACTCTAACTACCTTACAGAGGTAGTGACTCAGACTCAGTCAGAGAGTCTAATGAAAGGGCAACACTGTAGTATATACGATCTACTGTATTGGTGGTGAAGCAAGCTCTTTGTAATGCATTTTACTTCGGAATTCATCAACTCTGTAGGACAATATAATAACCAGGGGGTGGAATTCACAGAAGAGCTATATTAAATGGAATCTCAGCAAACAGTGGATTAGGGCTGTTCTAGATGGATTAGATGCATCCATAACTAAGGGAACATCTACTTTTCCTTCATGCAACACAAGATTATTGTCCGCCTCCTCTTCCTTTAAAGACATTCACTGGTGTCTGTCAGTCACCTGGGAACAGACTAGAGCAGCTGTAGTTTGGATCTTTAGAGCAACTGAAAGGAGAGCAGAGAAGAGCACACCTCCAACAGCATTACCAGATGGCACAAACACAGAAAATGAGGGAGGGTGGGAGAAAGAGAGAGAGAGAGGGAGGGAGAGAGAGAGAGAAAGAGAGGGAAAGGGTAAGGAAGAAAGAGAGTGTGAGGAGATAGCGAGAGATAGAAAGAGACAGAGGGATTGAAGAGGGAAAGGAGAGATGTAATGAAATGAAGGTTACGAGGAGAGAAAATACAGAATTTTGGGAAGGAGACGAGGGATCAGTAGGAGGTAAATGAAAACAGGTTTATGTTAAGGAGATGAAGGAGGAGGAGGAGGAGGAGGAGGGAGCGGAAAACAGAGCAGCAGATATGGAAACAGAGAAAGGGGCAAAACAAGCAACCAGAGGCGAACCCCTGAGTGGCTGCAATTTTGGGTCATAGGCCTACACAAATCTTGAGGGGGCTTGAAAAATGCTGTTTTAACATACACGAACAGCGCGAAAGCACAACATTCCAACAATTAATGACGCAAAACTGCTTGCATGCTACAGCCAATCACCTCTCTACACAGGTTAGCAGTTCTTCCACTCATTGAAACCTGGATATGCCAATTGACAACAAACCCCAGCCAAACCAGGGTCAACCCAGTAATCCCACACATATCGGTTTGGCTGGGTTTGTTGTTCCTGCTCTCTCCTTCAGGCTAACCCCAGCCTCCTTACAGGAGGGGAGCACATACAAGTTCAGCCCCGGGGATTTGCCTCAATATTGAAATGTCATGCTGTTTTCAGCACTCAATTTAAAGAGGATTAGCTCTTCTATCACTGGCTGAAGTCTTTGATGTAGCCTTCTGGCCCATGGCACTCTCATTGTCACTCATTAATAGTAATAAAACAAAGATGAATGCACACAGCACAGTAGCCAGGAGAAATATTAAAACCCCAAAACAAAAAAGGCCATTCTATTGGGACCTAAACCCCCCTTGGTGTAGTTTGAGAGATTGTTCTAGATTTTAGATACAGCAGCTATGGTATGGAACTGGAAGTGTTGCTGTCAATGAGGTCAAATGGGACTTTGTATAAGCCTAGTGACATACTTTCAGAGTCCCACTGTAAGGAAAATACTTTTAACCTGGTGTTTTTCAAAGGTTTAGAGCTCAAAGGCTTTCAGAAAAAACACTTAATTGCGTCTATATTCTCTAGGATTTTCCCTCTTGTTTAATAGTGTAAGATGGTGAAAGACACGACAGGACCTCAAACGGACCAGATCTTCTTACTTTTTCTCCGTCCTTTGATCTTACAGACCAACATATAGGCTAGAGGCCTTCTGGATGCCTTCTGGGGGCCACAGGCTCCTGGCTGGAAAGTGCAAACTCAACAGTTATGAGACAGAGTGCCAGGGGCTCTTCATATGGAGGATTCCAGGGGGACAGAAGGTCAGAGCCAGACAGTTCAGAGGCACAGAAGGGGCCACGCTGGGACTAGTGGGAAATTAGCTGGGCGGATGGGAGGCTGTAAAGACCACAGACTGGCTTTCAGACAAACAGCTCCCAGCCAGGACAACTGTAGGTCAGTTGGAGGAGGTAATCCAACTGGAAAAAGGGGGATGGGGGCTACAAACCCTTCTAAAGGTCAGAGGTCAGCTCACTGGCATTTGACCCCCAGTCGGTAGATTGTTACCCTTTTCTGCCCTAAGATATTGGGACCTGCTGCTTTGTCAGATCTGGAGCTGATAGGATACGCTGAGTTCATCTTTATCTTCATAACTCTGGGAAGTTTTTTTGTTGTCCTGCTTTAGTGTTCATTCTAAAAACTCCTGAGAAAGTTTTTTTCTTAGCTAAAGTTGGCCTGATTATCTCCCTAGACTAATTTGAACCCTGAGCTCATACTGTACTGGTCTAGATGGGGGCTGAGATACATACCTCTCACTCTCTGGGTTAGTGGGTTTAGAGGGAGCAGGACGAGGGAGGGGGGTCTACATGGGCCAAACAAAGTCCAAATGGGCATAATTGTTCTCCTTAAGAATAACCATCAAGTGTCTTGTCCAAGTTTTTTCTTAGTTTTATTATGAGGCCCATGTGAATTATGGCCAAACTTACAATGTTTGTGATAAACTATAACGATAGGCAGAGTTTTTGTGAAACATGAATCCATCCCATCAACTCCATTAACAAAGTGTCCATACATACATTGTCTCCTAGGGCAGATGGAGCAGATAGATTTCTTGTTGTGCCTCTTTTTGTGAGGGTGACAGAAAATCTAAACCACATTAGCTCAACCACATGCCACATGAACCCCCGGAAAGAGAGGTTCTGTCTTTTAGGTCTAGCCTGAATGTATGCATAAAATGCAGACACATAAAAAAATGAAAGGAACTCTAATGCATATAAAACACAAGAAAACAGGTCGTCCTTCATACATCCCAAATGTTCCTCTCAGACTTTGCGAGCTTGACCTTCCCTCCTCTTCCCCTCTTCCAAATACCAGCTGATGTATCTATAGCTTTATTGGAGAGAACGACCGGGACATTCGAGAATATGGGAATTATTTTCTTAAGGGTCAGGCATGTGCCAGACAGCCTCTGGGGAGAGCAAGGACCCCATCCAGGCGAATGGAGTGGAATTGACATTACCTTGGAAGGAACCTGAATGCACTTCTAAAGCATTTCCCCTGAGCTGAGTGTTGGCTGCCTAGAAGCCCCAGTATGGACTGCTTCCCTCCCTCTTCACATGCAGGAGACCTTATTAGCCTGCCTGAAAGGCTGTTTCGTTCTGTCTGGCATGGCTGGTTATGAGGCACAAACTCTCTCTCCCTCTCTCTCTCCCTCTCTCCCATCCCTCTCAACCCAGAGCCCACCACTTTTACAGAGCCTCCCAGGTTGTACATTATAGTATCAAGGTAATTGAGGAGGTCCCAGAACACAGGCCAATGGTCTAATCAGATTCCACCCATGTGTAGAAGCCAAATTGCACTCTGTCTAGGAAGTCAATAAATCAGACTCAACATCAGCCAGTCCAGCAACAGACCGGCAACAGTAGAGTCTGAAACCCTGGCATGTGGAGCATTCAGGCAGCAGATAAACACTGTTCACACAACAAAGCGTTATGACCACCATTAACATAATCCCTCTTCCACAGAGGAAATCTGATGCTGTACAGAATGTGCAATGGAAGACTTTCCAATGTCATGTCAATGTCATTATGTTGTGAGGGGAGCTATCAACTTGGATAATCTTTATATGTTGGGTGCAAATACTTTTCTATAAAAATAGTCGAGTTTAACAACATTATGGAAAAAGTCCACCGGGTATGTTACTCGCCATGAAAACTAAGGCAATTGTTTAATAGGAACAGCACGAGTTTGTACAATTGTTGCATTTGCTAAATTATTATTCTATATCACTGAGTAGATCAGAGGATAAGATGGCCAGGCAAGAGCAGCCCACTACGTGTGTCTAAGTCAACCACAGAGTGACTGTGACACAGGTCAGGCCTGAAGTGGCCTTGTGCCTGGCTGGCTCACAGACAAAATGGTTCCATTGAGACTTGTTTGGCTCTCCGATATACAGGGGATCCATTTATGTCTGGCAGAGAGGTCCAATGGCTGCCAAATTAATCACACTGACTGACAACGCAGACACGTCTGTTTGTTCTGTGCAGCGTGAATCATTACTGAACATTTAGGAAAACAGCAAGTCAGTCCTATGTGTGCTTTACCCTACCCAGGTCCTGCACTGTAATTTAATACTATTTAATTCCATGCAGGCTTAGCTCTCTCGCTCTCTCTCGCTCTCTCTCTCGCTCTCTCTCTCTCTCTCTCTCTCTCTCTCTCTTTCTCTCTCTCACTCTCTCTCTCCCTCCTTTTCTCTCTGCCATGAGTTCTGTTGTTTTGTCACCTGTGGCAGTGAAACAAATGTCCCTTGTCGTGCCCCCAGAGCGATCGGAATACCCCCTTCCCTGCGTTGGGGCGCGGGGGAGCCATAAGCAGGGACAGATGAGAGACTGATTGGAATAACTGATACAAACATTTGAGAATCGTCCCAACAAAACATCCTTTGTTTTTCCAAAAGGAGGAAACATACAGTAAAAGCTTGCCATGCTCCATTGACACACATCCCACCCAGTCCCTTGGGAGATTGGGGGGGGTTTGAGGGGAAACGGTAGGGATGGCGATGATGATGGAGAAGGGGGAGGAGGGGGGTGTTCTGTGTTTTCTATAATCCACCCCAGTTTGTGAATTTCCAATTGACTGCCCTTTTACCCCCACTTTGAGTGATTACCTCAGCTCAAAACATTCTTGCTAATAAACTTTCCCCTGCAGTCTTCAGCTATGTGTTCTCCAGCTAATACGCCTAACAGAATGCCTACTTGCCTAGATTTGGGTCATTGCGTTCACTCGACAAACTTTAATAGACTCTCTGATGAAAATGCAATTTTGCTGTAAATACTCAAGGATCTCTCAATGTTGCAAGCAACCTTTTAGCTTCGAACATGTGCTGTCTTTGGGAGAACAATGATGTATTCAGCATTATTTGGCTGTAGTAAGGATATGTTGGCCTTAGCCCAGGAAGCACAGCAGTGGAAAAAAGAGTTGCCAAGACAGCTCAATGGGGAAAGCTAGCCATAAACCAATTGTCCAACTGTCCATATTCTAAACCTAATCATATTACCATGTTTCAGTGGAGCAGTATGGTTGAACTCAAAGATAGACAACCACACAAATGTTGTTTGTTTCTTCCTTATCAATCAACATAAATCATTTGCAGTTCTGGCCTAAACAAAACTCAGCAAACAGAACTCCAGAAAACAAACTCCTTACCCTCTTAGTGTCTCCTGTCCTCTCCGGCGAACCCTTTGCACCTCCCTCTCATCCACCTTCCCCGTGAAGCGGCTGGCTTGGTACCCTCCATCTCCCGCTCCTGCCTGGCCATACGCCGTGTGGACTGCGGCCCAGCAAACGGCCGCCCATCCCAGCAGCAACCGGGCCAGCTTTCCTGCTCCCATTAGCTGCTCTGTGTGGCTCTGCGTAGCCCTGCTGCTGAAGACTTCTGGATGATGTCACTTCCTCTTCGTTGACGAGTTACACGCACACGTTTGTGTGGACCTGTCCCAGTCCTAGTGTGCACTCCAGGGTGGGGGGCTGGAGGGGGCAGACACAGGAATGTACATCAGGGCTTTTGGCCTCCAGCAGACATGCCAACCATCTCAACAGAAGAGTATGGCTACAAGAAAGGTACTTAGAGTGGAATGTGTGCCGTTTCAAGTGTGCAGAAAAAGTAACAGGTTGCTGTGCCAAATGACAGTGAAATGTATTTTTAATTGCTAATGTCATTGCTGAAAAGTCAACAGTTTTATTTAGAGTGCCCCCCTCACCCCAAACTCCCCCAACCCTCTTTCTCTCTCCTTCTCTCGCTCTTAATTTGGAAAGCCTTCAGTTGTTCCTCATCAATATCAAATTAATTTCTAATAACTTACCTGGAAGTTTACTTTTACAAGTCTGTTCTGACTGCATTAGAACATATTAAGTTGAAAAACGTTCAAGTCTAACTGGACAGCCATTGTTTTTTTTCTTTCTTCCTCTCATTAAAAGTCAGCTTTAAGACTGAATGGTGGACCCCCAATGATATATAACCACAGTTTAACCCACATCAGGGGGTTACAGAGCAGGAAGGAGATTTTCCCTTCAATAATGGGAGACGGTTATTGGAAGAAAAGGGGAAGAAAAATTGCCTCCATCCCTGATTCCAATCAAATTTTATGGAAGATGAGTGATAGATTACTGGTAACAATACTCTCCCTTCCCTCACTCCACCCCCTTTCTTTATTTCACTCTCTCTCTCGCTGACTCACACACACACACAAACAAACTTGAATTTGCTTTACATAAAATATAATGTTGAAATGTTGAAGCAAGAAGTCATTATGAAAATTTCAATAGCCATTTCAATGAGCAATTATTATCATAATTTGTCATCCAATTTGCAATTTACAGAAAGTTATCTACTAGAAAGTCTACATAGTAATTATTCGGATTTTTAAAAAAATCTTTCACACATTTGATAGGCTACAACAAAACCCTTAGTAGAAAAAAAGTTAGTGGCTTCATTTACAGTAGGCTATGAGAGGGAATCAATGTGGGCGGGATCAATCCACCAGACCGAACAAAGAAAAATGCCTGATCAATTACCAATGGATAGGTCAACACAGCCATAAAGTCATACATCCCGCCTATTTCTACAATTTATCTTCTTAAAATCTGGTTTTCAAAACTAACCCTAACCTTGAACATAACCTTAACCACACTGCGAACCGTATGATTAACCCTAGCCTTAAATTAAGACCAAAAAGCAAACTTTAGTTTTCATGAAATTTTACGGCCAATTTGGACTTTCTGCCTGTAGTAACTAGTGACGATCCAGTGCAGCCTTTTCTCGACTCAAATGTCAAATGACCCGTAAATTGTTTCCGTCGCAAAAAATACACATATAAAACGTAATTCAGCTAAAACGCATATAAAACTTTATTCACCTTTGTCTTAACTCTGAAAAAAACGTTTAAGAAAACGACAGAAAAAACTACATAGAACAGTGAAATTAATGAAATTAACAATATCCGACAGGCTAAACACTTTGGACTATAATGAAGGCATTTTCTCCGCAACTTTTTGAATGGGACAGAAACTGCAACATGACCTCGAAGTGGACGACAAAAGGTATAATCTCTTGAAACAAAGTTGCAAAGTAACAAAGTAACAATGCTTGATAGTAGGCTATAACCACACCTATCTTGTGTGAAATATCATAAAACAACATTAATATTCCTAAAGAATGTACAACAAACCTCGGCTCATGGTCGGCTAATGAAAACTTAGCAGCAACAAAAAAAATGCCGGTAAAACAGATGTAGCAGCCTTGCCTAAAACAATCCTCACTGAAACAGTTTTGACAATTCCTTTCAACCATTCGTCTTTTGAATAAGCAAGTAAATGCACATTACTTTTGCTTTATAACACATGCAAAACATTCTCAACTCGGGTAAAACACCCCTATGCCTATGCAACGTAATTGTGAATCATTGATAACCAGTGTCATAAATCAATAGTAGCACAATACCTTACAATTGTTGCAGTGCCTTGAAGTCGAGGAGCCCCGAGTCGAAATTTGAAATGGGATATGTGCTCCAGAATGGAATATTGAACTATAGCCTTGTGAGAAAAATAGAAAAGTTAGGGAATTGCCCTGATTGGAAGAGGGGAGGTGCTTTTTTAAGACACAGAGAGGGGGGTTACTAACGGACCACAGGAAAAACCCACATTCCGTAAGACTCCACTGTTATAAAGTGGGGCAAGTATTCAGACAAACCTCTGACATTACCTCTTTTCCAACTACTTTCCTTCATACCTGTATAATGAAGTCACATCTAATAAAGCAAATTATCAATTAGATGAAAGCAATTACTAATGAAAAATGTTAAAGATAAACTAAACTTGCCAATAGGTTAGGTATGTATAGAATTCCATCCCCAAAAGGTTGGTATAGTTCTATGGTTTTTCATTATATTGTCAAATGGAAGTGATTTGTGAACCTTTCCAATCAAATGGAATAAGATCTTTTGTCTTTAAAATCGGTGGACACACCCTGTCATTTATCACAGGCAGTTTAGTACATTTACACCGAAACCAATTTGAAATGACATGTTATTGCTATATTGTATGTATATTGTGTGACAAGTATATGCATGCTATTTAGATAGCTCTGCTATTTATTGCAGTAGCCCACAGGGCAGCGATTGACATATCCTTATGCATTGCTGTGACTGTTGATAGGAAGTGGACCAAATTAACTGGGGGCCTTGCCATCTGGGTGGTATATTGGAGGAGCAGCTGAGCACATCCCAAATATTGGGGCCTACAGAGTTGACTGATACCCCCTGTTTGTCTAAGGAAACAGGTTGGGAAAACACAGCAAGCAGTGTTTGTCAGGACTGCCCTAAAATAGTGTCCTCACCACTCATGTTTCCTAAGGTGGTCGTAAATACTGTCTTTACACAATGCACGAAAATGCTGAAATTCACATCATACTGTAATTAGGGAGTACAACTTCAATGGAGTTATGACTTTTGAGAATAAAGGACTTGGCAATAAAACGTGTGAAAAGGTCAAATGCCAGTACTCCTGATATACAAATCATGTAGATTTCCTTTTGTTCTGTTGGGATCGTTTACATTTAGATTGTGGGTGTTTCCCTACACTAGATTAATGGACACTCCCAAGCCTTCATAGAGAAATGTGTTTAGGCCAGCTGGCATGGCCACGCTCTAAAGATAATACAACTAATTGGGGAAATTTGTATGAAATCAGGTTTTAGCACCCCTTCTCTCTCTCTCTCTCTCTCTCTCTCTCTCTCTCTCTCTCTCTCTCTCTCTCTCTCTCTCTCTCTCTCTCTCTCTCTCTCTCTCTCTCTCTCTCTCTCTCTCTCTCTCTCTCTCTCTCTCTCTCTCTCTCTCTCTCTCGCTCTCTCTCTCTCACACACTCTCACACTCTCTCTCTCACACACACACACACACTTTTGCAGACGCACGCCTATACCACTTGTCATGGCACTCCATTCTCACATGGAATAACACACCAGACCAGGCTTAGCCTTGAACATGTAGCAGTGGAGTGACTGGGATGATTTGTGATGTGTTTTGGAGTCCTCTTGGGTCTTCCAATGACTCTCTTACAAGTGTGGGATGGGAACCCCACTGACTGTCTTCCAGCCCCCTCCACCACCTCAATCTGCTAAACAGAACCACATTTCCCCATGTGATCTGGGGCAGGGTGAAAGCACCACTGTCTGTATGGATTGTACAGCAGGAACCCAGGGAAATAGTTTAACTACCCCAGATAGAAATAACATTCTCCATGCACTGTAATTTACAAATAGATAAGAGCTATTGATAAGAGCTAGGTAAATTAGTAAGCTGTTTGGATAAGGGGATTGTAAATATACTTTACAATAGTTTTAGATCTATTTTACCTTATGATCGCTGGAGACAAATGTGAAACCAGTCATATGGCAGCAAACTGAAGCATATCAACATATCACCTTTTCCACAGTGAATTTTATGAAACGCTGACCTTATAACTTGGGATGAAATTTGGAGACCCAAGCTATAGGCTTCTGTAGCCATGCACAAATGACAGTGTAGTGCCAAACCGACCGAGTTGATTTATGATTTATAGAATGTTTTAATTATATGCTCAGACTTTTCACTGTATTTAAAAAAAATTGTATTGTGTTAAATATTAGCCACTATCGGTGGCCACCGTCAGTTATACCCACAAACATTTATAACTGTCACTGACTGTAGTGTTAGTCTCCTTACATTTTGCATCATTAGTTTACCTTTCTTTCCTCTGTCACGTTCGTGTGGTTGTTCCTGAGGATCGCTAGCCATAGTAGATCATATTAAGCTAACATATTACAAGTTGTGCAATAATTTGGGACATGTAACCTATTTGAATCATTATGGAACACATACCAAATGTAGCAGTTTAAACCTGGAACATGGCCATTGTCATCACAGTTCCATGATTAGTGAGGATTATTAGGGTAGATTTATAGGACTACTGTTCAACACTTTTCTCACCTTCCAATATGTCATGGATAGGAAACTTTCAGGATGAATCAAACCGCTGTATTTTTGATTGTGCTTAAAGGCTCTCCAAACCTGTTTTTTTTCCCCCATTACATTTACATTTTAGTCATTTAGCAGACACTCTTATCCAGAGCGACTTACAGTTAGTGAGTGCATACATTATAATTTTTTTATTTTTTCATACTGGCCCCCCGTGGGAATCAAACCCACAACCCTGGCGTTGCAAACTGAGCTACATCCCTGCCGGCCATTCCCTCCCATACCCTGGGCCAATTGTGCGCCGCCCCATGGGTCTCCTGGTCGCGGCCGGCTACGACAGAGCCTGGATTCGAACCAGGATCTCTAGTGGCACAGCTAGCACTGCGATGCAGTGCCTTAGACCACTGCGCCACTCGGGAGACCACATTCATAAATACTTACCTAACCCTAAATAATATACAAGATCAGAGTATTTTTTTATCGACCAATTGGTCGGCTTTGGCTTTCTTTC